TTCTCAGGGCAGTTCACAAGATAAAAGCACAAATAAATAAATAGATCCAATGGTTATCAGACCAACGCACAGATAACAAAGATAATAACAAAACTGCCAACAAATGACAGTGTAAATATTTGAGGATATTTGTATCCTCTCTTATGTTTCCCTTTCTGGCCAAGCACAGCCAAACAGATGTTTCCATCTTTTGTTCATTTCTTACACTGCAAAACTCAAGGGCAATATCAGCCTATGGACAATCAATCTGAATCTGTAAACTTGACTATGTATTTCAATCTAAGTAGACATATCAAAAATGGTCTGCAAACTGGCTATTTATTTTCAGCTTAACATGGGTATTTATGAATCTTCATGAGTTACTTAGTACTAAAGAGGTAAAAATTACTTGCTTATAATCAAACAGCTGTGATTAATATGGTCCTGTGAAAGATGTTTTCAAATGGGATGTAGAGTCTGATTCCCCCCCTCTTCTCTCCTAGTTTTAATCGTTTGGATTTACCGCCTTATAAAAGCTATGAACAGCTAAAAGAGAAGCTGCTTTTTGCAATTGAAGAGACAGAAGGATTTGGACAAGAATAAAAAACAAGTTCAAGGCAAAGTGAAGTTTTGTTGTAGCAGGCTGGAGCAACAAAATTGCACAGTTAGTGGTATAAGCTGTTTCTTCTGTACAGTGATTTTTCTGGAACTCTAAAAAATGTTCTCCGTTCTTCCACAAAGATATGCAAAACAGTTTTACCTTCTCTACTTTATTTATTTCCCCCTCAAAGACTGGCCAGAATAAAATTGAACATGAAAGACTTTATTTAAAAAAATGTGTATATAAATACACACTAATGAGCTCTAGTTTTATAGAGCTGTAAAGTTATTAAACATCACAGCCATTCAGAAGAGTCAGGAGTATCTTTCTTGGTTTTGTTCAGAAAATGTGCAGACTGCTCTGTATTCTTCTCACTTATGCAACATCTCTAAGGGTTATTTCTATTGCATGGCTGTTTTAAAGGTGTTAAAAGGCTTAGGCCAAACACATCCTCGCTATGTAGAAAAATGCTGCTGGCTTTTTGAAATGATAGAATGTGATATTCTGTCAGCTGAATTAAAAAATAATAATTGTAATAGCTGATAACCCAACTTCTGTGTAGCCGAGGTCATAAAGCCTTTATTACTTGCACAAGAGTAATGTACAATAAGATGAATGTGATTGTTAAGACATTGGTGCCACTGTTCTGACTTTTACTGTAGGAGCTGAACAGACTATTATAACTCATTGAGCAGCATTGAAAATTGTTTACATATTACCTTGGGTTATTTCCAAGAGAACAGTAGGTAATCTTCAAGGAAAAAATAAAAAGATTCCTACACATTCTGTCCCAGTCTGGTATCTTACAGGCTTTAAAAAAAAGATATTAGTGGTATGTTTCAATTTCATTTGATAAATTAATTAATTTAGGAGGATATGAAAAAGTAATGTGAATTGTTCTCATTTTTTTTAATATGGATCTAGAAAACCCAAATGGACGTAGTTACATATGCTTTGCACAACTGAACTAATTTTCTATTAGTCTTCAATACTCTCATCCCTTCAAGAAAAAAAATTCCAGATGTTCCTAATTAAGCAACTCTAAATTTTGTTTTTATATAGGCCAAGGCTTATTTGTCATAAGTGCACAATGTATATAAAAAAATTAAATTGTGTTTGCAGTATTGAGGGGCATTTGCTAAACTGCAAATATGTGTAATAAATTCTACAACTTACTGATGTGAATTATTAAATGCTACTTTTAGCAAATTGTGCTTCCTTATTAGAGTAACATTTTAAATTGCCATTTGTATCATGCTTTCAATATTCACTGTAAATTCCATTAAATTTAACTTATACAGTTTTGTACACACATGAAACAGATTTCCTAGAATTAACATTTCTGTAACATATCAAACTGCAAAAAAACTGTAAATGCAGTACGACTCTGCTATATTTGCTCTCATTTTCTCAATATAGCAGTTTAATTCTGCCAAAATCTTATTTTTCTACATATTGTTACACTTTATTATTCATGGATATTAACCTGTGAATGCTTGATAAAAGCACTGCATTGATTAACAGACCTCCTGTCTATCTTGTGTTAGTTACCCTACACACACATATGTATGATTACACCAAAATATCATCTTGATTTTTCTACTCTGATTGGAACCTTAGTATTTTAGGTTGCCCTACCACCATTCACATGAGCAACTTAAAAAAAAAGTTCCTAAGATAATGCAGAAAACTAATGAAGTTTGACTTCTCCAATGGGCATCCTTCCCCCCCCCCAAGTGGGAACTGTTCCTATTGGTAGAGGGAGGGGGAGGCCTTGTCTAAGGCTACCTAGTAGAGATAAAATCCTCTCTCCCTGCTGCTTAATCTTAGGATTCAGTGCTTACACTTCTTAAACTGCTAGTCCGTTTTGATTTGGCTTATTTGAAGAAACACATTCACACAGGCCCAGCTACAGCCCATATAAGGACGGGTCATAGCATTAGACGTTTGCCTGTTTCAGAAAAATGTAGTGAGGTCTAAGTCCTGTTCAAAGCAGTGGAATTTCACCTGCTTTAGATAGGACTCACATAGCTTTGATTAGTCGTATTTCACTAGAACAGGGCAGGTATGCTTATCCTCAAGCTTTAAGGAAAATCTTTCAACAGCAATCAGTGAGGATTCACCCCCCAGCATAGGGAAGTAGTAATTTTCTTCTCGAGTCTCAGATGACAAGCAGATAACAATCTAGATTTGCCAGTTTTAAGATGACTGAACTCATTTTCCTGGACCCATGGTGGGTCATGTATGTATGAACAGACTTCACTAATGTGTTGCAATGAGAGAATCAAAGTTGGTGGGGGTCTGTACATAATTTTGCCTAACCTGCTATTAGACAACAGAAACCTATAGGTAGATAGTGTTCCTTCGAAAATGTTCAAAGGTAGGACATGAGCTCCCTCCAGTGCTTAAAGGTGGGATTACAGCTTATTTGATCACATCCAACCAGACCCTACTCCTGCCTTCATGATCAGCTTTGTGCTTTTGTGTTAATAATTTGTCTTAGTTCTTGATATGTTCTTTATCAGCATATGGGGGGATTTTTTTGCTAGTTTGTATGATTTTTGTGTATGCTGGGCAACTTGCTTTGTGTTCTAGCTAGACTCCCTCCAGTACTTTTTTTCTAAACTGTTTCACCCTTTCACTTTTGTTATTAAGATTGTAGAGCCCATTTTTCCTTTAGATTTTTTTGGCATTCCCAATTGTCCAACCTCTGCTTTGAAGACCTCCAATGAGTGACAGCCCACCACCCGTAGAGATCATTTGGTCCATTGTCCAACTGCTTGTACCTCCAAGAGGTTTGTCCTAATCTAGTCCACAGTAACTTATATGATTAGCTCTACACTTGTGGTTAGGTAGTAAAGCACAAGCTTTTGCCATCTTCCATGTGAGATGGCTTCAGGTATTTCAAGAGTACTATTATGTGCTACACCACCCTCTCCAAGCTAAACACACATTCCCTTCAACTTCAAAGGACTTTTCCTCCATACTTTTTGTCCTTGCTGAAACCTGCCCAGAACTGAACATGCAAGACAAGGTCGGACTATTTTACTTCCTTGTTCAAATACATCCGGGAAGGGGAAACTGTGGCCTCTAGATGGCTTGATTCCAAATTTTGTCAGCCTCGGCGAGTATAGCCACAGGTCGGGGAGATGTTGTAGCTACTTACTTCAGGCACAGCACTACTTAGGAAGATTTAGGGGGGTGGGGGAATTGTGATCAGGCCAAGCTTCCTTGTTACACATACAGCACTGATGTCTATGGTAGCAATCCTTACTGTTTCCCTGCAACAATTAAAATAGGTAGAGCTGGCTTGACAGGTTTACAGAAAGGGTGAGCAGTTTACACTATCTCATGTGTCTTTTTGTAGATGAACATGTTTCGATAATCTTAACATGCAGGCAATGGAAGATCATACACTTGAAGAAAGGAAATTTGGGTAAAGAAAATATACAAAGAGCTCTGGAGTCAGGGCAACCCTCAGCTATCCTCATGGTGGTTTATGACAGATGCACCGAAACCCAGAGTCCTTAGTCCTTTGGCTCAGTGTTCCCAACCTCTGAGTCAAAAGCATGGCCAGCAGCAGGGGGTGGCCCATGACCTGACAAGGGACCACAGTGCCCTGGGGTGGATAATGTGCTGGCACCAGCCCACCACCACTAACTGGTCACCCTCCTCCCCACACAGACATGAGCAGCAAGATGACGAAGGGAGAAGTGATGGAGCAACAGGGTGGGGCAAGAGAAGAGAGACAGGCCCCTACCTGCAGGTCTTGTCAGCCAGCTGTATGCTGCTGGCAATGACTTGCTTTGCCCTGTAAAGGGCCTTTCCTGCTTGTCAGTGAAGGAAGTTGTTGCAGTACTCCAGTCTTTACAGTTGTTTCCCACCAGACACATGGGTTTCTCCAACTGTTGGGTTAGCCAGTTACAGGCTTTTCAAGGTCCAAAAGTTACAGTAAGGAGGGGGCTATGTTACAGTTTCAATGGACCCTGTTTGCAGCCAGTGCCTTGCTTTGGGCAGCTGGAGTTTCATGCTTTCAAGTCTGCAAGAGGAATCTGTATATCCCAGGCAGATTGCAGCATTTAATCTGGATGTTTTAACTGTCAGCAGCCAGCAGACAATTTTCTAAATAGGGATTAGTTGTACAGCAGGCTGGCTTGCTTTAGTTGCGGTATTTCTACACCACCCCACTACCAGAGTTCTCTAGATGGCTAACTTGCCCATGGTGATTTCTGTCTTCAAGGGAGAGAAACAGACACCCCACAAAACTGAAAAGAGAAGGGACAATAAGGTGCCCCATACTGCGTTTAATGGCAAATGTTCCTTAAGTGTTTGCTGCATCTTTAGAGCCTGTTGAAAGGCTCTGAAAGAGGTAAGGCAAGAGGTCTTTATTATATAGGAAGCCACACCAGGAACACACAGATCGCACTTTTAGAGAACCAGTTTATTTACTGCATTGATACAATGCCTTCCTGCCAAGGCACCCATGGTGTTTTACAATTTAATACTAAAATAACTGATAAAAAGTGAAGTTCGTGAAGAAGAAGAGAAAAGTCCAACTGGAGCGGGATCTGATGTTAGTTATCTCTGCCTGCTTCTCTCATTCTCTTGATTAAGGGACCTCCTCTTGTGACAACAAGGAAGCAGTAGCTCATTCTGCCAAACACCAAAAGGTTCAACAAGTGTTCTGGAGTCTATCAAAATTAACCCCAAAGAGGTTCCCTACTTACTCCCCAAGAGTGAACAAATACCCTTAGAAATTGCCTTGGGCATGTATTTCTCAACATACATCACTCCAGGAGTTCCTAGTGTTGCACCCATGGGTGCAGTTTCACCCTTGAGGTCTTCCCCAGCACTCATGAAGCCTCTGTCCATCTCACACCCTCAGTGATGATGGTGGTTTCCTCCCCCCCCCCCCTTTGAGAAGTAGAAAGAGCAGCAGGAGGAAGGTAGAAGCATGAAATTCTTCTGCACTTCCTCCTTCAGTTCTGTGTGCTATTAAAGGCTCAGGTTAATTTTACTGTATCTGATACCCATATCCATTTGAAAACATGTCTCTTTCCAGGGTAGTGAGGGATAGAAGTGATTGGGGGGGGCGCGTCCATGGTACTCAAAAGCCACAATATGTCCATGGGTCTTAAAAGATGGACAGGCCCAACATTATTCCTTCTGTTAGGATTTTTTAAAGTTGGTGTTGGGGCTCTGAAAAAGATAATGATAATTAGGCTGTTCTTTTCCCAAGATACTAGCTTGTGAGAGTTCAGCTCCAGCAAGTGAAGAACGGATTTAGAAGCAAAAGATAACCATACCTATAAGAAAATTTTATAACTGCTTTTGATTAGGACAGCATATTTTATATATGCTGTCCTAATCAATATATATTTCACACAATAGTCAAAACATTATAGAATTTCCTCCAGTTAAAGATGTGGCCATTTCCATAGCACCAGGTTTTTATGTGTTTCATTAGTAAATAATAATAATAATAATTTGTACCTCACCCATCTGACAGGGTTGCCCCAGCCCAGTAAGTAGATCATAACAACACACAAAATTTCAATGATCTTGTCACAGAGAATTTAGCAATTCCACAGCTTCTTTATGTACCTGAAATGAAAAAAGATGAGAAGTTCAATAGTGTTTTCCCACCAAGACACAGCCATACCCACAATACTCTCTTAGTTAGAGATGGATTTCATCTGCCCTCTGGGAAGCAGCAAAGCAGGAAAAGGGAGTTGCGGGGCAAGTGTGTGAATCACCTTTCTCAGTAAGGACATCAAAAGAGGGGGAAATGTCTCAGCAGAGGTATACTGAAAAGATTGCCAATGCATTTTCCAGATGCACTCATGCAATTCATGGGGTGCTGTTGCATTTTGAAGCTGGAGGCTTTGAAGGGGCACTTTGTCGTTCAGTTGTGCACAGGCATTATTGCATTCTGCTGAAACAGGGATCTTTCTACCTTTTGTAAAGATAAAAAAATTTCCTCCACCCTGCTGCAGACATCTTTTTTCACAAAGTCTCTGGAGAAAATGGAAGGTAACATCTAAGAGGGGTTACTAAGAATTAAATATATGCACCCCCTCTCTATGACAAATATTTTTTACATGTCCTTGATTGTGAAATCTGCCTGCCCAGATTTCCACTGGTATAATGCAGGCCTGAGCTCGAAAAAGGGACTTCCATCCCTTCCTTTAGAGCCTAACGTTTTACATTAGTTGGAATTCTGCAGTTCTTGGCTCTGACTTTTATTTTTATAATTGAGCAAATGAATGCCAAATACATCTTGCTGAAGCCCTACAAGTGAAGACCTGCATTTTGTGTGTATGTGGAAATTGAGTGCAAAAATACTAACAGCTACATTAGTGATTAGTGAGAGCTCCAGATGACACAGTTGCCTTCACTTAGCCTGTGAATCTGTCCCCTTTGCAATGCTATTGTTCTTTTCTTTTTTGGGGAGCTACCCATTGTGGCTTAGTAAGCTTATGCAAAATACATTAGATCTGCCCACTTTCCTCCAATGACTCTTACTCATCAAGGGCACTGGATTGAAGAGCCAGAGTAGTTGAGCAACCGTTTGTCATCTTTATTTCTATGAACAGAAGATCCTGCCTTAATTTGTAAGGGAACCACTGAGGTATAGTAGACTGCACTGGCTGAGGAAGACCTGGGTTTAAATCTCCACTTCTCTATGAAACAGAGCAACCTAGGTCAGTAAACATTTTAGTGTAATCTCACAAAATTGGAAGAAATGGAAGAAATCTTAATCTGTTCTCTCCTGAGCTCCAGGGAGGAATGACTATATACCACTGTGATAAGAATCATAACTAGACTGTGAGATTTATGGCTTTCTAATCAATTCAAGCTCCCTCCCATGAAAAAAGAAATTTCATCGTCATAGTTTTAAATTCAGCTTCTTGGCAGGAACACTTGGAAATTTACTTAAAACTATACAAACATTAGGTCAGTTTAAAAACACTGCTAATACTCCCCATATATACTCTGATGGATTGTTAGCACACTAAAAGGTAAACAATTTGATGACCTGTTTATATAGCTTTTTCATTTTGAACACTTATTTCCAAGCATATTCTGAATATACTGCCCTTTGGGGATATATAATAGGAGGAGGTTCAGAATATGCTGTAACTCACTCTGCAAAAATAGTTGGAAAATACAAGGAGTTTCTTTAGCCAATAGTGACAATGGCCACAATGCTTACCTGCTTATCCTCCTCTGTGTGTGACAGCCGTTCTTTTGCCTTTGATAACCAGAAAAGGGCCATTTTTCTGTTGTTCAACTTCATGTATGTCTTTCCCAAGAAGAGTAAGTTCTTACTATAGAAATTGGGCTCAACTGCACAAAAGTGACAACAGAAAGATTTTTACTATATAATATTGTAGTCAATAACATATTTGAGAACTCCGCAGTGATTTCTGCGTATGCACTTCAGGCAACACTCACATGACCAGTAAGGTTTTTGCTTTGCTGCCTATTGCATATAAGCTGCACCAGTTAACCAAAATGTACTAAGAAATTTTGCAGATGGTTGGACCAGATGATCCCCGGGGTCAACTTCCAGTTCTAAAATTCTATGATTCTATTATTCTGGGAAAGAAAACACTTTCTTCCTGCTTTACGCCAGAAATAGTCAATTTTTACTTTCTCTCAAAACCAAAAGTAAAAATTATTGACTTGTATTCAATGCAGTACTAAGCAACAGCCCTGTGGGCACAAGGATTTACACTTGATCAATAGAACTTCCCCCAAATCTGTTGATTGATTGTTTTGGCGTGACCCCCGCTAATTGATTTACGATCCACAATTAGCTCTTTACTGCCGTCCGGCGCGTGCTTCCCTCAGCTGCGCCACTTAGCTCCGTCGTCCAGTCACGCCCAGCAGAGTTAACACAGCGGGAAAGCTATCACGTCCTTTGACAAACACACAGAGTACAGGTTTGTCTATTTACAGTTGTTTATTCCAACAATTCTCCAGAAAACCCAGGACTACTTGCAGCCATGACAAACTGCCTCCTTTCCCTATCACAGCACAGAGAGGAACAGCAAAACTCCTCCCAAACTCCTCCCAGCTTCTAAAGCTGACGTCAGAATGTTGAGGCATCATGGGAAGAACTTAACCTATTAAGTTCCAAACTCCATACCCCCCCTTGCCGAACATTCTGACAAGACCTTTTTGAGTTCAACACCTTTCCCTTTGCCTTGTGCCTCTTCCCGGCATTTTTCCCAGGCACCTGTTGAACCCCTTCAACACTCCCAGAATCACACTGTGCGAAACATACCCACGCACTTGTGGCCTGATACCTTTCAGGTGGAATACCCTTTGTTGTGCGACTGGACCTTCTAGGCACAAACTCAGATGTTACCTCTGACTCACCGCCACCAGAAGGTGTGTCCTCAGCATCACGGGATTCCCCCTCTGACTTAAAGCGTTTTCGAATCCTCTCCATTACACTCACAGGAGAACTGGGCTCGCTTTTGGGTGTCCTCTTAACATCTTGTGGAGAAGCTACAGATACCTCCTCCTGTTCCTGACTTTGGTCAGTGACCTGATCGTCATCATCGGATTCTGAACCCTGATCTTGGACCTGGTCCTCATCACCGGGATCAGCTTCTGCCTCCCTTTCCTCCTCAGAATCAGACAGACATTCTGAGAGCACATCACGCATGACAGCAGTTTTTGACCTTTTATCCTGCTCATAGAACTCAGCGTGTTTACTGATCAGCACCTTACTCTGATCACCTGATGGATATGCAAACCTCCATGCACGTGCTTCTGGCTCATACCCGCAGAAGATCATTTTCCGGAACTTGGATCCATCTGGCCCCTGCAAAGCAGTAGGTACCGGCACAGATGCACTTGCACCAAACATACGCAGAAAATGAATCTGGGGTTTCCTGCCATGCAACAACCCAAAGGGTGTGTCACCTACTAGTGAATTGTAGGTACGATTCCAGGTGAAGCCCACATACTTGATTGCCTCCAGCCAAAACCTGGTAGGTAACCCAGAATCTGCCAGCATCACCTTTGCAGCCTTAACCAGAGCCTCACTTCTCAGCTCTGCCACCCCCCTCTGATTGGGTGAAGTCACTGTGTGACGTATCCCTTTCTTGTGAAAGAACTTCCGCAAAGCAGACCCTGTAAACTGAGCTCCTCTGTCACTGGTGACTGCTTGCACTCTGGTGGAAAACCTTTGTTCCACCTCCTCAATCCAGCCTTTGATCAGCTGTGCTGCATCATCCCTGGATTTGAGACCATGGGTCCAGGAGTTCTGCGTAAAATTATCCTGCACCGTCAGCAGAAACCTTGCACCTCCCAGACTCGCCTCCTTTACAGGACCCCACAAATCTATGTGGACCAGTTCAAAAGGTTTTGTGGTTACCCTCTCCACTTTTGGATAACTGCATCCTCTTACCTTTGCCAGTTTGCAAGTTTCACATTTTACAGCACATCCACATTCTGTAATTTCACAACCTTTGGAAACCTCAGGCAGCACCTGTAGTTCTTCTAGAGAACCATGAGCTGTTCTTGCATGCCACGCATGTGCACATGTCACATGATTGTTGATTTCAGCACGTAGAGCCTGTGCTTTCCCAACCTTCCCCTCACCCTCCAGAGGTGATTTAAGAACAAAGAGATCATTCTGCCCCTTTTTAACCTTGGCAAATATCCTCCCTCCTTTGGAGATTGTACAGACAGCATCTTCGAAACAAACCTTAAACCCCTTTTTCAACAAATAAGGCACAGATAAAAGACAGTGGTGCATCCCAGGAACGGTACAAAACTCCAACGTCTCCTGTAAAACAAACACATGCACATTCACAGAATTAGTTACACTCTTTTTCTGTCCATTTGCGAAGAGTACAGTTTTCCCAGCCGGAATTGCCTTGCAATTCCACATCTCGACAGCAGGGGTCTCTGGAATCAAATTGCAGTTCGCTGCAGAGTCTATTACAAAACAATGCTCTGAGCCTGTCCCACAGCTGTCCCCAAACAAAGCCAGACTAGCTGTAAGTTGATACGTCTCCTCACGTTGTTTTCCACGTCCTTCTCTTGCGTTCCCACGCTGGCCTCCTCTTCCAGACTGGTTACCATGGAAACCCGGCTGATTCCCATGGGAAGTGTCCTTGAAGCCTTCCTGTGCAGCTGCCCTCGCTCTCTGTGGACAGTCTCGACGCAAGTGTCCCGTTGCATTACACACGTAGCACCGACGAACTCCAGTGGAAAAACACTGAACAGAGCTCTCATCTGGCCTGGCCCCCCCTTGCTTCCGGTGGAGCTGCCTGCGCCAGACTTGCCCTCTCTGGACCGCCATTCCATTCCAGCACGTACAGTGGAAAACTCTTTGAAGTGGCCTTTAGAAAACTTCTTCGCCCCCCCAACCTGCTCACCAGCGCTCCTTGAGGCTAAAACATCAGGAACAGGGGCTCCAGCCATCTCTAGGCTTTTCTCAATACTTCTCCAGGCTTCTCCAGGGCTCTGGCCTCCTGCTGAAGCTTCACAGCAAACGCAGCACATTCCCAGACAGCCCTTGCTTACTTTACTCCCTTGCCCAACTTCTTAGAGTGAGCCTTCCAAACGGAATGTCCTTCAAGACCTGGCTGTCTGCCATTGTCTTCCGTTCTCCCAAGGGGCCCCAAGCTGTACTCACAGATTACAAGCTCCTCCGGCACCCATCCGTGGAGAAACGATTCCTTGCCGCTCTGAGCTCTCAGCAACACAGGCAAACCTTTGCAATTTTCAGCTAGCTGCTTGCCTCAGATGTCTCAGCTCCGCAGCTACTCCTTTGCCTCTTAACACCAGGCAAAAAATCTCCGCTGCGTCCTGCCGTGCTTCTCTGCTCTAAACCGCAGACTTCAAAGCTTTTTTCGGCAGCCGTGATAGCTTTACGATCGGTGATTAAGCTCCATAACCTGTCAAGTTGATTGATTGTTTTGGCGTGACCCCCGCTAATTGATTTACGATCCACAATTAGCTTTAGCTCTTTACTGCCGTCCGGCGCGCGCTTCCCTCAGCTGCGCCACTTAGCTCCGTCGTCCAGTCACGCCCAGCAGAGTTAACACAGCGGGAAAGCTATCACGTCCTTTGACAAACACACAGAGTACAGGTTTGTCTATTTACAGTTGTTTATTCCAACAATTCTCCGGAAAACCCAGGACTACTTGCAGCCATGACAAACTGCCTCCTTTCCCTCTCACAGCACAGAGAGGAACAGCAAAACTCCTCCCAAACTCCTCCCAGCTTCTAAAGCTGACGTCAGAATGTTGAGGCATCATGGGAAGAACTTAACCTATTAAGTTCCAAACTCCATATGGGGGGGGTCAAAGTTGAGAAAGGGTCAGGGCCTCCTATCTGTCCATCACCTGACATCATAGTGACATCAGGCAATGTTTCCCAAAGTGGACTTTCAAGCAGCCCTCTGTAAACATCCATTCATGGGGCTTTCGGACACCCCTCCCACATTTCCATACTCCCACTTACCCCAATGTGGTGGGGGAGGGGAGTCATTTGGAAGACTTGAGTAAGGTATGATCCCACCACCCAACAGCTGATGGGCAAATGGAAGTGTGCCTCACTCAATCAAAGAAACAACCAGGAGCTTGAAGCTCCCAGTGGTTCTTTTGACTTCAGGTGTTCGGCAGATTGGAGTGGCTTTCTGAAACTGGCCTCTTAAGGCCAAACAGGCAGGTCTGGAGGGTCCACAGATCCCTACCTCCTTCCATAAGGAATTAAAGATTGCTGTCAGAAAGTTATGTTTGTGTTTCCTCCCTGTACAAGCGGTGTATCTACTTACAAAAAAAATATATGGAACTTTACAGAAATGTTTTAATACAGAGTTAAAGGCGAGGCCATAATATTTTTAGCAGGCTTTTACAAATGAGTCTTGGATATGGGGCTGATCCAAGTAATTCATGTAGGATGTTTGCATGTTTATTGCTGTGAAATATTACATGTTATCTCGTTTCCTGCACCATTTGGAAATGGCTAGGAAAACCCACCCCAAGTTTTCCATTTGAGAACTAATGGGATCCTATGATGTGGGGAAAGTGAAGAGAACACATATAACCTAGATCCTTGTTTCAGCTTCTAGAGAAGGCAAAATGAAGACCTCTATCCAGGTTTAATGTCTCAAATATTTCTGAGGTTAGTTATGAATAGTAGAGCCTTTTACACTTCTTCCTGACAAGGTTCTACTTGTGCTTTGGTTTTCAATTTTAACAGTGCATGCACAAAGGATATCACGTACTCTACAGTGCTACGTAACTTACCATCTTCAGCCTTCTGGAAGTAACGTAAAGCCTGCAAAATATTGGTATTAAAGTTAGAGTATGGCTGAAAAATAACCAGAAATAATCAAAATCCCTCTAGGAGTGGGCTAAAATATTCCAGGGAATAGCCCACTGTGCAAAGTAATTGCTATGTTTACGAATCCATTCTGTGAAATGGGTGTGCGCTTCAAGTGCCCCCCCCCCCAATTATACATTTTTAGAAGAACATATTTATTTACGAAGTACAGTTTTAACCAGATGTGGGGAACCTGTGGCCTCCGCGTGATGCTGGACTCTGGCTCTGACTGGCCCCAGCCAGCAAAGCCAGTTGTCAGGGGTGAAGAGAACTGTAGTTCAACAACACATGAAGAACAGCAGCCGCCTTCCCAATTTGTTTTGTTAAACAGCTGTCATGAATATAGCTACATTTATTTTTCAAAATCTCTGGTTCTGTCAGATCATTATGCTCATGTTTATCGCACGACAACCTTACAGTTTAAGATGAGTGCAACCTTCCACACCCTTTTCATTCTATGCTTTAATTATAATACAATAACCAAGAAAAATCCATGCATAGCCTGTTGGGGTACCATACCTCTTCATAGGTGGAGCTGGGTGGCGTTGAGAATAAAGCTGCAGCTATTTTGCTCTGATACCATGGCATGTCAGCAAACGTATAACACCTACAAAAAATGCAAAAGGACGTTGTATGTATACTTTACACCTTGACATTTTGTATGCATGTCTGGAGAATGTTTTCATTCACTTTTAGGTCAATGGAACTATACAACCAACAGAGAACATCACAACACATTGGTTGACTCAACCTTCTACAAGAATAAAAGTTATAAATGATCTCAAATGTCTGTATTGGTTCACTTCAGTAAAACATTCCATAAAGACTCTCCTCCTGGAAGAGAGGGGAGTGGTTGTGGGCGGGAGCCGAGCTCCGCCTCTAGCAGGCCACGCCTAAATGCTGCGACGCCAGCCCCTCCTCGGCCTCACTCTTTGGTTAGGCATTGGAATAATGTGTTGTGGTGTGTCGAAGGGCTAGGTGTGGCCATCGCCTATGCCTTCAATTTTGGGGTATTCCATTAAAGGAATCTGGCGGTCGTGTATTCTGTCCGATGCCTGCTTGGCGGGAGGCCATGGCACGACCCTCGGTGACATCAGGGGAGAGCCTATAGTTGGATTAGCATCAACAGGCTCTACCTAATGGTGAATAAACCCCCTTGTTTTAGACTCACGCCTCTCTGAGGGGGTGGGGTCAGCTGACGTAATCCAATGCCTAAGCCAATACCTTTTCACTTGCTGTAATCAATAAAGTTGTGGCCTTTTCTTGCCCATTAACCTTATACAGTGGTGCCTCGCAAGACGAAATTAATTCGTTCCGCAAGTCTCTTCGTCTTGCGGTTTTTTCGTCTTGCGATGCACGGTTTCCCATAGGAATGCATTGAAAATCAATTAATGCGTTCCTAGGGAAACCGCCTTCAGACCAGGTCCGGGGACAGACTGTCCCCGGACCTCTTCTGAAGGCTGGGGGGGGGACACAAGGGCTTTTCTTCCCACCCCCAGCATTTTAAAAAACCCTGGGACAGCGGAGGACTTCTCCGCTGTCCGGCGATCTTAAAATGCTGGCGGGCGGCATTTTAAAATCGCCCCGGGACAGCGGAGGACTTCTCCGCTGTCCGGGGCGATTTAAAAGCCCCTGGGAAGGCAGGCAGGGGGGACAAAGACTTTCGCCCCCCGCCCGCCTTCAGAAGGTGTTCCCGCCCCCCCCGCCCGGCTTCGCAGCAGCGCTACGAAGCCCGGCGGCTGGGGCAGGTGTTCCCGCCCCCCGCCCGGCTTCGCAGCAGCGCTACGAAGCCTGGTGGCTGGGGCAAGTGTTCCCGCCCCCCACCCCGCTTCGGAGCAGCATTCCGAAGCGGGGTGGCTGGGGCAGGTGTTCCCGCCCCCCGCCCGGCTTCGCAGCAGCGCTACGAAGCCCGGGGGCGGGGGCAGGTGTTCCCGCCCCCCCACCCCGCTTCGGAGCAGCGTTCCGAAGCGGGGTGGCTGGGGCAGGTGTTCCCGCCCCCCGCCCGGCTTCGCAGCAGCGCTACGAAGCCCGGGGGCGGGGGCAGGTGTTCCCGCCCCCCCACCCCGCTTCGGAGCAGCGTTCCGAAGCGGGGTGGCTGGGGCAGGTGTTCCCGCCCCCCGCCCGGCTTCGCAGCAGCGCTATGAAGCCCGGGGGCGGGGGCAGGTGTTCCCGCCCCCCCACCCCGCTTCGGAGCAGCGTTCCGAAGCGGGGTGGCTGGGGCAGGTGTTCCCGCCCCCCGCCCGGCTTCGCAGCAGCGCTACGAAGCCCGGCGGCTGGGGCAGGTGTTCCCGCCCCCCCACCCCGCTTTGGAGCAGCGTTCCGAAGCGGGGTGGCTGGGGCAGGTGTTCCCGCCCCCCGCCCGGCTTCGCAGCAGCGCTACGAAGCCCGGGGGCGGGGGCAGGTGTTCCCGCCCCCCACCCCGCTTCGGAGCAGCGTTCCGAAGCGGGGTGGCTGGGGCAGGTGTTCCCGCCCCCGCCCGGCTTCGCAGCAGCGCTACGAAGCCCGGCGGCTGGGGCAGGTGTTCCCGCCCCCCCCGCTTCGGAGCAGCGTTCCGAAGCGGGGTGGCTGGGGCAGGTGTTCCCGCCCCCCGCCCGGCTTCGCAGCAGCGCTACGAAGCCCGGCGGCTGGGGCAGCTGTTCCCGCCCCCCCACCCCGCTTCGGAGCAGCGTTCCGAAGCGGGGTGGCTGGGGCAGGTGTTCCCGCCCCCCCCGCCCGGCTTCGCAGCAGCGCTACGAAGCCCGGCGGCTGGGGCAGGTGTTCCCGCCCCCCCACCCCGCTTCGGAGCACCGGGAGAAGCGATCTCCCCGCAGCCCCTTGCTTCAAAAGAGGTCCGGGGGCAGACCTCTTTTGAAGCAAGGGGCGGTGGGGAGAAGCGATCTCCCCGCCGCCCCTTGCTTCAAAAGAGAAGACCCGCTGTCCCCGGGGCAAGCTTCGTTTTGCGAAGCAAGCCCATAGGGAAATTCGTCTTGCGAGGCAACTCGAAAACGAAAAAACCTTTCGTTTTGCGAGTTTTTCGTCTCGCGAGGCGTTCGTCTTGCGGGGTACCACTGTATCACGTGTTCTTGTGTATTCATTCCACTTTGCGGGGATCGGGTCCTCGAACCACAAGCTTAAATGACCAATAGTTCAAAATTTGACTACAACTCTGCCATGAAAATAAGACCTTTGAATAAGACATTATTAGTCATGCAGGAGAATCTTAAAGGTGTGAGATACCATCTATGAAGAAGCTTTAATGAGGTTCCCCTCATTTTAGACAACACCGATTTTAAAGGTAGTTTTCCATAGGGCAATCCATTGCTCATTAGCACACACAAGATGTTCCGTTTCTATCAGATTTATACATTACTGAAACTATACTTTTATATGGCAGGAGAACACAAACGATAGTATTTTCAAAAGTGATGAGAGTTCTACATGTCTGAGCAATCACCTCTGGCTTCAACACAAAGCCCACATTATGGTCCAAGTGAAATCACATGAGGCCAAACACTCTACCAGGCTAACCCTCCAAGGTTGCATCCCAAACAGATTAATTCAGTGTAGCACACCAAGTGCTGCAAAAACAGAAAGAACGTAGCAGACAGTTGCAACCAACTCAGACAAATGAATGCTACCCCACCTATTCTACAAGGGAAATTTTAAAGTCTAGTGTCAGTAATCAGCCTGACCTAAGCAAAAATTCTTTCTCAAACCCCCCAAAATAAAAAGAAGAACACGGGCATCTCCCCTTATAGGGCTAACAACTGCTTCAGGGGAATATTTAGAGCAGGAAAACGGTGCAGGAAAACACCTCCAGATTAAACAACAACTCATGTGCCTACTTTTAATTAAAGGCAAAGAAGTTCAGGAGAGTCAGGCAGGTATTTCCATCATGTGCAGGCATCCTTTCCAGGCTACAAGGAGGGTCTCCTCACAAGCTGGAGGCACAGAGGGGCTTTGTTGAGGCTCTTCAGGTCCATTTCTGGGTTTCTGGAGGCACACATATGTGCGGTTGCAAGTGATCTGAATGCACCTAAGGGGGGGGGTGCCTGTAATTCTCGGTCAGACTGCTTCAAAGTGTTTCTGGACACCCATGCCTTCTCAGCAAGCATCAGAAGAAAAAAGAAGAAAGGCAAAAGCTCCCAATCTTGGCCCCCTTTCAAAGATTTGATCAAAATGGCCACATGGCCATATTAATGTCTTTCAGGGCAGCAATAGGCAGGGTTTGTTGAGGGCCTAACAGGGAAGTGTACGCTAATGAGTTTTCAATTTCTTATGCTAATGAACAGAAATATTGAGCCACTTATAACCATTAAGCAGAGCAGGAAGGAGGTAATTCTCCTAAGAGGATGACCAGGAACTTGGGAAATCGCCAAAAGCAATTTAGGTCTCTCAATAGGATTAGACAGCGTGTGGCAAATAAAAATGTGAGTAGGGAAAAAGAGTTTTGTATGCAGTCTGACCAAAAAAATCAAAGCAATCCATGTAAGAAGCAGAACACAGCACGTTTCCTGAGACTCCAAAATGGGCATGTTGCTCTTTTGAAAGTGGAAACTGAGCTGTGTTTGAGATGGTGCCCAAAACGTCTTGGAAAATGTTTTGGTTGCTGTTAATTTTCCCATAGTATTTATCTGTGTATTATTTTGAATACATTATTAAGCTTTCTATTTTCATTCTAAACTAGCTACAGAATTCAACAGGGGCCCAAATAGTAATGATGGGTGGAAATAGACTTCTGTTCCCATCTAGAATACTAATAATGCTTTGCAATGCCTTATTGCAAACTTGTCTATATTGGCACGGTTGCCAATACAAACTTGGTTCATTGTAAGAGCATTATATAATGCTGTTTATAAGCCAGTGCCAAGAGAATCAGGTGGAATTTGCAAAGTTTCCGTCCAAACATTTTGTATTTTATTAACAGCGGTGGCACAAGTATGATTTTGCTTAAAAATCTTACCAAATGCCCATAAGATGAAGTGATGTAGCATCCTTTGGATTCAGTTCTATCGCTTTCTGTCAAGGAAAGGCAACAAATGAAAGCCTATCAGGTATTTTTTTAACACTAACCCCATAGCCTCTATTGCTCCCACAATCACCCTTCCAACCTGCAGCAATGCCTAGATGATATTCCTGAACCTTTTGCCTGTCTGAAAAAAACACTGCATTCTGGTGAAAGGAAATATCTTATTTGTTCAATAATATTTAGCCTATTACACCTTTGCGGTAGATCAATTATTAAATACATATATTATTAAGACTGTTTTGAGTTAGGCCTATTATTATTCCTCCACCAAACACTGCTCTTTAAAGGGGCACTATTCACATTTAAAGCTTAAATTTAAGTCCATTTGCTGTAGTAATCCTGAGGAATATATGGCCTCAAACACATTCACATCCTTTTCAAAAAAGCATTCCAGATGCTCAGTCTCTTTCTCACACATTTATTGAAGCTTTAAAGGTCTTTGTTTAAACATGAAAGTTTAAATGGCATGTATGCCTGGTCCTTAAATTCACTTTTGTAAAATGTGTCGAACTAGTTCCCTGTGTTAGAGCAAATAACAATCTCTCCTTTGTGCTGTGTTTAATTCTGGAAACATTTCTGATAAATAGTTGGAAGCTTGCGCTACTATGTATGTATGTATGTATGTATGTATGTATGTATCTGTCTGTCTGTCTATCTATATGCCAAACAATGAGCAAACAGACACAAGACAGGAAACTTAATTTTATATACCTGGAAGTGTTCTTTGATAACAAAAGCATTGGTGATTTTTTTCTTTATTCCTTCATAATCTCCCACATCACTGAGGCAGATTGCATACCACTAAATATAAAGAAGAAGTACATAATTGAACTTAGGAGTACTGAGATTTTAGTGATTTTAAAATATGCAATTGCTATTATTCTGCATGTTAGGAAATACAAATTCTCTATCAGTTTTTTAAATAATATATGAAAAGATTTAGTTCAATAATTCTGCTATGATTTAAATCACCAGTCTGTTATCTTCAAGAGGACGAGTTTTCCCACAGTTACTGCTGTTGGGTTTCTAGAAATTTAATCTTAACAAAGTTCAAATTAACTGAAATAGGCCCATTTCCATCACTTATAATTTTATTTATTTTGAAAAATCTACAGAAATTTTAGCCATTCCCCTTTCTATTACTATATGGCTGGGAGCAAATGCTTATTATATTGTTCTGTCTAGTTTACTATCAAGGAACAATTGGGAGGGATCTCATCTGGGAGGACTGGGACCTTGGAGAAAACCTCAATATACCTGAAGAGCCATTAAGCAGCCAATTCACCCTACCACATAACTCTAGATCCAGACTTACACACACACACACACACACACACAGAGAGAGAGAGAGAGAGAGAGAGAGAGAGAGACCAACCCCCTATGGGAGATACTGAACTGGCAAAGGAGCACTCGTCTGGCTGAAAACAAACTTAAGAACCAGAGGTCCATTCAGAAAGAGGGGTCTACTAAAGAGGAAGAGCCATCAGATGTGTCCTGTAGCCCAGATGATGACCAGGAACAATCAAATTGGCTGTTTTAGCAAAAACAAGAAAAAACAACCCTCTCAGTCCTGCCTGGCCTTTGTTTAATATTTTATTAAGGATTTTCTTGTTTTACAGAAGTGTAGTGCCTCATATATATTTTTCCCCATGTAACATTTTTACAAATCCGTTTCATTTGTTGAGGCATTAGGGGGAGAAGAAAATAAAAATAAAAATAAAAAAGGAGAGAAAAGAGAAAGGGGGGTGGAGAGAGGGAAGATGGATAAGGGTGGGATTGGGTGGCGGTGTTTCTATTATGTTTAATGTGACAAAAACAACTGCCTCTCCAGAGCTGCCCTATTTCCAGTTCTTATCTTATCTATGTTTTCTTGGAGTCTATTTGTCTACAGTAATAGCTATTGCATTTGATCCTGATTGGATCCACCTCCGGTCAGCGGTTGCCTTTGCAGGATCTACACTGCCACACCCTCGCTTTAGTCTTGGAGCCCAGTAAATGGAGTGAGCCACACTTACCTTGTGCACACTGAAACATGATTTCTCTTTCTCGAGTGCTTTTGTGGCATAATCAAGAGCCTCATAGATCAGCTGTTTCTTTTTCTCTGCCGAAGTTTGACTAAGCTGAGCCACGTCCCGTGATGCTCGTGCCAGGCGCCACAACAGTTGTGCATTCTCACTAGTTAAAAGGAAACACAACAGGATGCACTGATCATTACCAGGCCAGAGTTAATAACCAACGAATAAACATAACTATAGTTAGATCAGGGATGCTGTGGGCTCATAACCTATTTCCCCTCATGTGCGAATTCCCCAGCCCTGAACCACCACTTTTACTTTCAGAGCTGGCCAAGGTGCAATTAATAATTTTCTCTACCAATTATGACACTAAGCACATTTAGTTTCATATGCAACCACAGTTAGACTCGGTTTGTATACTGCCATTTGAGTGACTCATGGTTAGCAAAAGCAGCAATATGTAAATAGTCTGCATGGCACACTAACCCTAATGTTGGCTTAGAAAGGCTGAAAATCTACAAGTTCCCAGAAAGGAGCACCCAGCTGCTTTGCTCTTCCCTGGGTCCTTTTTGCCATGCTGCTGTAGTTTAGCTCTCACTAGGAGCAAGCTGCAGCCAAAAACAAACCTGGACTGCAGCTCATGGTTAGTGGGGAAAGGGCTGAACTGTGATCCCCAGTTTGGGTGCCTTTGTCCTGGCTTAGCAAAAAGGATCAAGGACAAACGAAGTCGCTGCTAGCTTTTCTCCAGGAGCCCACATGTGTGCATGGTCTTGTTAAGACAAGATTTAGCTTAGTGTGTCATGTGTACCAGGCCACTGATGTACTACTGTACATCAATCAAACTGCTCATATAGTTTTGGACCATGAACAGCAGAAGACAACCTATATGGGCAGTATTTTGATGGAACAATCACCTTACAACTACATTGGACTCCACTCTATGATCCGAAATAAGGTTTTGATAACACGCCTTGAAGTAGAGTCTTTCAATTAAAACTAAAACCTATTAAAACAAGCAGCTTCATAATAGCAAATTTCTCCCTGAAAAGAACTGCAATAATTTCTCAAACGCTTTCATCTGCTGCAAAAGTGGCTTCCATATCTCCTTTTTTCTCACAGCACTTTAGAGTTTTGGTGGGGAATTTTACCTTATTGTTACGAGGTTGTGCTCGGTGGGTTTCTCCTCTCTCATGAAACATTTCTCAATTGATCTTCAACCTCTACAACTGCCTACACTTCCTGATATGAAAAAGCCCTGAGCTAAAATCAAAGCATGGGAAATTAGGGAGGCTGGCTACCAAGCACATAAAAACACTGTGAATTTCTGATTTTGTCTTTAAGTGAAGTTCTACCTTAAATAAATAAAAAAATAAACACCCCATACAGATTCTTTTAACAGTAAGAAAAGTCTTCAAAGTAAGCACAAAAAGCAACAATAAGCACCCCCTCTTATGTTTACAGGAAAGTTCAAATGAAGATGTATGGTTTTCCCCCCAGGAAATGTGGACACCCAGGAAGACTGCAGAGAGCAGACAACTGAAAGATGATTTGAGAAATGAAAGAAAGGACCACCTTGGCCACCTTGAAAGTAAGATAAATACAACAAAAACCTTGCATCCCACAATATTATTTTTCTAAAATTTCCTCTCTTTTCTCAATTTTAATGCAATATATTTTCTCATTAATTGATAAAAGAATGGCTGATACAGCACTACTTTTCTCAGCCCAGTCCTAAATACAACGTGCCACGGGGATGTTCTTGCCCTCTATTACAGAGTGGTTGGAAGAATAACTAAGGATTCGTGCAGCATTTTGAATACTTTTGACATGCTGACTGTTAAGCCTTATCACAATAGCACTAGCTAGGTATTCTTGTCTTCATATAGGAGATGAGACTGCATGTGTTGGGGACTGGAGATTTCATGTTACAGAGGGGAAGTGGGAGAATTGAATTTCCTCCCGCCAGATGCAGTGATGGTCATCAATTTGGATGGCTTAATGAGATTATTAAGACAAGTTCACAGAAGACAAGGCTATCATTGGCTACTAGCCATGATTTCTGTGTTCTACCTCCACTGTCAGAGGCAATATGCCTCTGAATACCAGTTGTTAGGAATTACAAGTGGAGAAAGTGCTGCTTGTAAACATCCACACACATCTGACTGGCTATTGTGAGAACAGGATGTTGGAGTATGATTAGATTCTTAAACAAAATGATACCTATGGCTGCCCTAAATTTGACCAGTCAAGTATATCCTTTAAGAATGATCTCCCCTGTCCCATTATGTTCTGCCCCACAGAAATGGCTGTCCTCATAAAAAGTGGCAGGTGCGACCAGAGTACAGAGGGAGTCTGCTACAATCACTTACCTGTTTTTGTATTGTTCCAGCAACTGATAGAGCTTTTTGGTTTCCCCACTCCCATATAGGTAGTCTGCTTGATCTAGGACTTCATTAACTTGAGGTTGGTTAAAAGAGAAAAAAGTGTGACTATGCTATTTCATCTTGCATGTATAAACAGCTCTAAGAGAAGAACAATTCAGCTAAAGTTAAATAGCACCATGTCTATTTCTTGCACAGTGAAGAACTATTACTAAGTGCCACACTATGTTATGCAAATAATATTGGTTTCTTTCCAGTAACAAACTGACAGGAACAAGATTTGCATATCAACAGGGAGTTGCCTGTTTTATTTACTTGGTTTTTTTGGAAGGGAGAGGGCATTTTGTCTATCTCTTTTTTGAATGGGTGTTCTTTTGGAATGCTACCAAGTTTTTTTGTATTGCTTGTTTTGTATTTGTGTGGGTTCTCTCTCTCTGTGTGTGTCTCTCTCTCTCTCTCTCTGTGTGTGTATGTCTTTGTGTGCAAAGCGTGCCTACTTCTGTTACTAGTGTTTTGTTTGTTTTGGGTGTGCCTGTGGGTGTTTTGTCTGTTTGGGGCTTATTTCTGAGCAACACCAGTTTTTCTTCTTCGGAATTGTCATTTTTAGGGTGCTCACAATAGTACAGGACTTCTGCATACTGCTAATCATTATTTGCTGGCACAAAAGCCAGGGGAGTTGGAGAGAACAAAAGCAACTGAGATATTGTTATTATTTAGTCCATTTGTTTGTCACTTTTATGAAAAAAAATACAACAAATACACTTCGAGTGAACAAAGTGTACCAGAAAGGAAGTATGACAGATGTCTAAATATGAAGGTGTTTAATAAAATAAACTGTATTCATAAATGTACAATAATATGGAGCAAACTGTTTGTAAAGACAAATACAATATACTCTGAGTTAGATCCGGAGAATAACATGAAGAAGAGGGCGGGTAAAAGTTGACTTTCCTACCCCTTCCATGTTCATGGAAAGTGCCTCTGCCCTTCCCCCTCAATGCCCCCCAACATAGCCCAACCCATTGAGAAGAGGTCCCTAAGCTTTTTCAGGGGCTGCCAGGAGGAGGAGGGGTGTGAAAGTCAATTGCTGCCAGCAGCCTTCTGCAGGTCTCTCTCTGGGTCATATTCATAGGTTTTTCATTTTTAAAAAATAAAGCATTGCAAGTTATATCACTATTATTACAGAACATCCTGTTATCTAAATATACAAAAAAGCAAGGACTACAGCAATGGAGATAATTCTGCTAAACAAGACATTCTGGCTGAGCTTACAGAGCATCATCATCATCATGCTAACTAAGGCTCCTTTTGCTGACTTCATTTAAGTCTGTTATTACCCGACTTCTTTGGACTGTTAAGTTTCTGAGAGCTTTCAAAGGGTCAAAAAGCACACTGCAACCATAGTGGCATAAATATCTGATAGCTTAATTTCCATTTTGCTAAAGCAACTGATCATAGTTTTCATTATATTTCACTTACAGCTTTGGAAAAAACAAATACAAGACAGGAGTTTAGAAAAAGGATCCTCTGGTAACTAGTTTTACAACTGCCCATCACAATGCACAAGCAATGCTAGGCCAAACTATGGCTAAACATGAGCATGTAAGCATGTGTATACCCACAGTAAAAATTGGTACTTCACTCCACTGCAAGCCAGGCTGCTGCTGCACTACCCAGAGCTAACCCATGGTCTGGTATAGCATCATGTTTGAAGCCATGTGATTTGTCTTGTTCCATGAGCTGTAGGCATGTTTTTTTCTTGGCTTACCACTTGCGGTTTGATGGGGGAGGGGACACAAGTCAGAAGCTCATGCTCAGACATAATATTAAGCCAAACAGGTCTTAGCTCTGGGTAGCATAGCAAACACAGGGCTAGGGAAGGAACACCTTCATATTTAGCAATGATTTGCTTTAGCGTTTTGTAAAAACCAGGCCTCTGAATTCCTCAGCTTACCTTTGACATCAGCATGAACCACACTAGAGTGAGAGATTAGTATGTATGCTTCATAACCCAAGTAGGACAGTGCTGAGAATGCAACTCCTCTTCTGAAAAATCTGGACTGTTCCAGTACCTAACAAGAGAGAGACAAAGGCTACAATCCTAACCATATTTAGTTGTAACTTGAAAAGAAACATTGCATCTACTTGAGTAAACACAAGTTAGATTGGGCTGTATGCATACAAACGAAGTCCTGCAAGAAAGCATTTTACAAAGCTTTCAATTATGCTTATTACCCAGTACAGTACTAAAAGATGGCTGTGATGCTACTTCTGTGAGTCCAAAGATATATGTGCAGTGCAATCGTAGGCATGCTTACTCAGAAGTAAGTACCAATGTGGCTCATTCCCAGGGAAGTGTGAACAGAATTTCATGTCTAGATGTAATAAAAAACTATGATTCTTTGTACGTCTGAATCCAACCAGGCATTAATCATAACCAGAAACATGATTTGAAGTTGGGTTTTGTATCTTGGATTGTGCTACTACTTGGTGTCCTTGTTTACTCCTAGCTTGTTGCGTCCCCACAGCCTACCTGGTTATAGAGACACGAGGGACTCGACACGAGTCCCAGAGACACGATGCTCCCAAAATTAAACCACTTGGATGTCTAAGAGACTCTTGTTGGCCCTTTCTCAGACCTCTCCCAATTTTTGTCTACTTGGCAACAGGCTCCTTTTCCTGCCCACCTGTTGGCTAACAAGCCCTCCCTCTCTAGTTCATCCAACTACCTCCACAACAGTATTGCAAGGAGGGAAAATTAAAAGCAGCATGGATAAGTTAACTCAAAATATAAACGAGTACAGTATGTTTAAAGCAAACCTGTGATCTTAGCAGCTACGTGCAATAGGTTTAACAGATTTAACTGGGCAATCTGCCATGCTGTGACCTGCCTGTTTCCTTTTCATATTCAAAAGAACTGTTTTGACGTGAATACATGTTCTTCAGCTTCTTCACCATTAAAGTGAACATTACGAACTCCATACGTCTCTAGTGCTCTTATTCAGAAGAAACCAAACTCAGTTTGCGCTGCCGCTGGAATCGGAGAATTGCAGAGTTGGAAGGGACCCGGAGGGTCAAACTAATCCAACCCCCCCGCAATGCAGGAATCTCAACTAAAGCATCCAGAGACTTCCCTAGCCGAGGAGCGCTCAACTATACTTGTCACAGCCCGCCCTCAAAGATATACAGTAGTGGGGAAAGTAGAAAGGGATAAAATAAGGCGAAGGGAAAGGGGGTGTTGGAGAGTAAACCTTCACTCTAAAGCCGAGATTTCCACCGACCAGTTTGGTTTTTTTGCAAGGCCGCCGTCCCAGAACAGACTTTAAAGGAGACATTGGGGGAGGGAAGCAGGGGGAGAAAGCTAAGGATGAGCGCACGTCGGAGCGCAACCGCACCTCGCTTCGCCCCGAAGCGACTTGGCGCCGCCAGCCGAGTCTTGCCTTCGGAGCCCCCCAGAGGAGCCGCGTCCTCACCGCGCAGCCTCCTCGGCTCAAAAACCGCGCTGCAGACGCCATAGCGGAAGCCTCTTCCCGTACTCCCCCTCCCCCCACCCGCGCCTCCGCGCCGGAAACGCTCTCTTTCCCAGGCCCCCGACGTGCCGGAAGTTGCGCGTGGCCGCCTCCTAGAGCAGCCGGGTTTGCTCCAAAAACTGAGGTTTTCTTGGTTCCCCGCCTCCCTCGTGGCGGACCTTCAGCGAGTCGTCTACGGTTTTGGATTTCCCGCGCGCGAGGGGCGTCCTCACGCCGCGCCAACGTCACGAGGTAGCGTCGGCCTCTTCTCACGTGACTCTCGTGGTGCTGGGGGAGGGGCGGGGGTTAGAAGGATTGGTTTTATTTACTATTTCTCACTGGGTCCTCTGAGGTGGCCGACGCATGCGCACGGCTCGCTTCGCCCGCAGCTCCTTGGGTTACACAAGTTCTGAGGTGAGGCTGGCCGTTGGGGCCACCACCCCAGATTCAAGTATCTGGGAAGGGCTTCGTCGGTCCTATTATTATTATTATTATTATTATTATTATTATTATTATTATTATTATTATTATTATTATTATCCTTCCCAGGCGCTGCAGAGAAGAGGAGCCGCTGCTCAGGGAGGGGCTGCTGCGCCCTTTCGGACGTTTGTGGGAAGCGGCTGCGGAAGGAAGCCTCTCTGAGGTGTGTGTAAAGGGGCGAGCGAGGGAGCAGCCTGTGCTTGTGGGAATTGCGGGTCGCTTGTGGGAATTGCGCCTCGGAGGGGAATGGTGGAAATGGGAACCCAGGTGGGGGAGGGGGGACTTGGGTCATGCCATCCATTTAAGATGTTTTCTAGCATTTGGATCCTGCCCGTTTGCTCCCCATCCCACCCCCCCAGAAAAAAGGTCCTTTTTAACCGAACAGGTAACAGTGAAACCTGGAAAGTTTCCAGAATATATAATGAAAGTCGGATCTCATCTAACTTATGTTTGCATTGCTCAGGGATACTACACACACACACGTGTTACTGTAGCCGAGACGATTTTCCAGTTTAAATTAGCAGCGATCCCTAGACTGATGTTTGTTTTCACCAGTGTTTATTTTCTTGGGGGTTACTGAAGGGTATGCAGTACCGGCACCGTTACACCCCCTCCAGATGTTAAATGTGTGGCACTCACAGTAGCAACTTAATGGTGAGTGCCTGCACATTTTTTTTAATATAAAAAGCACTGGCTTTGTCTCTTCTTAAGAAGTTCGAGGAATATCCTTGACTTACTTTTTTAAAAATATATATAGATGTGTAATATATATAGTTTGTTTAAAATGTGAGGGTTTGTTTGAAGGTGGTATACCTGCCTTGAGTTCCATATCTAGAATGAAAGTCCAAATTGAGGTGTGAAAGGTGTATCCTGTGGGGTAAACTTTGGTGGATGAACGTAGGTTCTGCACTGGGTGTGGCTCCTATGCTAGGATGGCAGTGGAGAACTGAAGGCTATGAGGTCTGTTTCATGTTTTCTTTGCAGAGATCACCATGTCTCTTTAGGTATTGTTGCTGTTTCTGCACTAGTCTTTCCTGCTGTATCGTGTATATTTAAAAGAATAATATGAGTTATTCCCCATCCTGCACCCCTAGGTCCTAGAGTGGGTAACATTTAAAATACAGCATAAAAAACTTATTTTTAAAAAATTACAATCAAATATGCAAATTGTGAAGGACAGTTAAGTGTCAGACATGTTAGCTGTTGTTTAGTCGTGTCCGACTCTTCGTGACCCCATGGACCAGAGCATGCCAGGCACTCCTGTCTTCCACTGCTTCCCGCAGTTTGGTCAAACTCATGCTGGTAGCTTCGAGAACACTGTCCAACCATCTTGTCCTCTGTGGTCCCCTTCTCCTTGTGCCTTCAATCTTTCCCAACCTCAGGGTCTTTTCCAGATCAGACATGTTAAGCTGTGGTCAAATATCCTGTATTTTTATCTTGTGAACGACCCTGAGAGCTTCAGATGAAGGATGGTATTTACATTTAATTAATAATAATAAATAGAACTCCCCAAGTCTTTGGTAATATGTGCCTTCCCTTAATATGCTTTACATTTCTGCTATGAGAAACACATCAGTGTAGCTGTGGCAAACAATTGCCACACAAAGTGATAACTTTATATGATTATCATGTGTAATTCCCTACACATTTGGGGAGCATATGCCCAGGGAAGCCTGAGGATCAGTATAGCAAATCATTCACACCTTGAGCATATGATTGAGTTGAAATGGATGGGCGTGTAGTTATCGTGTGACAACTAGAGCATTGTGGGTGTGACAGTTGTCTATGAATTCAGACATAACAGCAAACCATAGCACAGGCTCTGTTTTCAGTGCCTAGTTTGTTGGCCCTCAAACAGTGGTTTGTAAGCTCTTTTCTCTTGTAGTTCCATTTTCTAGATAAAAGTGTGTGTGTTTACTGCATTTGTTTATTTAGGAAACAATTGCTTGTGCAGAAGTAATAATAGTATTGTTTGGAGTACACTGTACCTTAGCATCCACAAGGTCCTGTTTTCTGAGCATTCTTGAGACATCTAGTTGGCTTCAAAGGAATTCTGGTTCAACTCAGCATGGTTGTGTTTATGTTCGTATTGTAAATAATAAGGGTGCCATTAGCATCTGGAATGGACTGGAGTCCCAGAAATTGTGTGGGATAATTTAACACATAAGTCTTCCAAGCTTTCCTAAAGTTCCATAAACTAGGATGTTGTTTTTTCTCACCAGATCGCAGATTTACTAAAATGAAATATTACAGAGCCTTTAGCAGGAGCAGTACATGTGTTCTTTCTTGTTTCATTATACAGGGAGAAAGAAGAGATCTGAGATAACAAGGTCCCTACTTAAAAACTTATTAAATTTTGAATGAAAGGCCATCTTTGATATGAAATGCAATTTTCTAAGATTTCAACCCCTCCCCTCTTTTACATTTAGCATAAGCTGTACTATTTATTTCCTATTTTGCTGAAAGCACATGCTCAACTTTAAATCTGCAGTAAAGGTAAGGGGCACGTTGACATTTGCTAGCAAGTCAGTGGAAGCATCAAAGAATCTTGAGCACCTTAAGGACAAATGACTTTATTGTGGCATAAACTTTCATGGGCTGGAGCCTCTACCATTGTGGTTGTTACTGGCACCAAGTCAATGCATATCTGTTTACCCAGGGATTTTAAATTGCTCTGACTACCTACCTCCTTTGCTTTTATAGTTATTGTTGCCTCTCAGTTTTATGGTTAGTAACAAAGTGTGATGTTTTATAACATTGTGTTGGTTGTTGTTGTGGATTGCCTTGAAATCCATCAAGCTGAAGGGCTGTTTAAATTTTGTAAAAAAAATATATTATCCTGGCAGTCAAAAAATGTTTGTCTCAACTTTAGTTCAGTCCTACCATGTCTAAAAGAGCTTGAATGCATGGTTTAGTGAGGCCCATTATAAAGTCTGAGAATCCTTGGAATGACAAACTATTTAAAAAAGAGGCTTTTGGCCTACACCCAGAAGTGTGATTCATCACATCACTCTTCTACAGTGTTGCTGTAAAGTACCAGAGTTTAGGTAACTTTATGTGTCTACAGTATAAGATAAGTGTCTTAAATATATTGATGCAATTGTATATACACTTACCTGGAAATGTCACATTGAAGTCAGTGGGACATACTTCTGAGTAGTACCTGCAGACTGCACTGCTGTGGCATCAACTTTTGTAAACTAGAGCTCATTTCACTGAATGCATGATGTTTTCTCCTTGGTTGGTAGGTGTATATGCACACGTACAGCTGATTGGTAAAGCTATTGAGCAAGTTATTATTTCTGCTGTATGAGAGTGACGGCAATCCATCTTGCACATGAATGCTTTTTATGTTCATGGTAGTTTATCTGTGAATGATTAAGCTGCTGGTTAGGGATTTATGCTGCTTAGTTCTGCTATTGACTTGCCAGCAGAGAAACCTTTTTCTTTTCTGCTCTGGAAGATGCATGTCTACCCAAGATACCCATAGTCATGATTTATTGAATGACTGTTGGGCCACAATCCTGCTTCAGTGGGCTGTGCTTAAATCTGTGTTGGATTCGGACTGTGAGCTGTTAAAATGACCCCAATGTTAAGTATACTTGTTGCTTGCTTCCCATCCAGTGAGGCAGATGGCAGCGCAATGTGTAACAAAGGTGGAGCTAACCATCTCTTGCAGCAACCTCCTGGATAAAGATGTCGGCTCCAAGTCAGACCCATTGTGTGTGCTGCTTCAGCACACAAGTGGACAACAGTGGTATGAGGTACAGTAAGTTGATACTTAATTAAATATTTCTAATAAAGTTTCTTTTCTGGCTATTAGCTCTTTGTTTTAATTTGGTCTTTAGAAACATCAAGTTCTGGGATGTAAAAGTGAGTTTTATTTCTTTGAAACATCATGTGATGAACTCTCCCCCCCCCCAATGTCTTATACACAGGTTGATCGCACAGAAAGAATCAAGAACTGTTTGGACCCCAGGTTTTCCAAGAGATTCCTAATTGATTACTATTTTGAGCTGGTGCAGAAACTCAAATTTGGGATTTTTGACATTGACAATACAACTGTTGATCTGAGTGATGATGACTTCTTAGGAGAATTGGAATGCACACTGGGGCAGGTAGGTGTAAATAACTAATGGATATTCTCTCACTTTCAGAGAGTTTTATTGGTTGCTTCATTTACAGTTCATTTGGTTCTGCCCTGAGAAATGTCATTTGACCTGAAACCTCATTCATGCTGGTATTGTTCCTTCACCCAGCAAAACCAAGAAAAGGTCAAAGCGGGAACAATAGCATGTTGCAGGTTCTCATTTTGTAAGTTCTGCTTTTCAATAAGAATTGAAATAGTAAATTGTCTTCCTTTTATAGGCAGTTTATCTAATGTTATGTCAAATGCTATTGTTACAAGAACTAATCTCTGTGGTTTATCATTCCTTGTTGCCTTATTCCTATGGATAAACTGATTCCCTGAACATAAAATCAGATTTGTGTAAACCAGTTTCCTATTGCAGGTAAATTGGGAAACCAGTCAGATTCTGGCTACTTAACCAAGATTAATTCTCCATTTTCTAGTTATGATGTAACTGGTAACTGGTTTAAACAAACCATGATAGAAGTAACAAAGGGGAGGGGTGATTGTGTGAGCAATTTGGGCTGGACGTATCTTAAGAGTCCATATGTATAAAAGTATTACATGTGCAAAAGCAGTAAAAAATTTTTTGTTAAAAATAAACCCTGTCATCTTATGCTCTGCCTTGATTGCTGAGATCTGTTGATGGGGCACTTTTGGTGGTTCCCTTCCATTCAGCCAGCCTTTACCAGGGGCTAAACCTTTAGCTTGACATGCCCTGCCCTGTGAATTCCTTCTTAACCCTTTTTAACCCTGAGACTCTTCACCAACCAGATCTTAATAATGTGGTTTGTGTTTTTATTGAAATATACCTTTAGTTTTTACTATGCCTTTTTATATTTTATATGAACTTGTGGTTTATAAAAATTTGTAAAAATAAAAATTAATGCATGGGTCGATGCCAATTATCAGTTAAATAAACCATAGCATATTACTCAAATAATTGCATCTGAACTGGCCTGTTGTGTTACTGTTTTTCCTAGTCATCTGCTAAGAGCTTTGACTAAGTCACCAATTATGGAATTCTGTAGACAAGGTAAATTCTTAATCTGTTGAGTTTCTGGATATTTCTGTATTTTTACAGATTGTTTCTAGCAAAACGCTCACCCGGCCACTACTCTTGAAAAATGGCAGACCTGCAGGAAAAGGAAAAATAACGGTATGAAAACACAAATGGGTTTTCCCCCTTCTGGTATTTCACTGTGGACAAAGATTTTGATGACCCAGGGAAACATGAATTTAGTCAAAACAAAATTTAAGTGTGCTGAAATTCTGTGGAAATTAATGAGATGCAGGTTGGGATCCTATGCACTTTCTATGAAATAAGTGAATTGATTAAGACCTATTTTAATAGTTTTAGGTGTCCCCCCCCCCCACAATTTTCACTTTAAATTTCATTGCCAGAAAGCAGGGGCTAGTTTTAATTTAAAAACCAATTACATGCCTAGTTCTGCATCTTTCAGATTTTGTATCTCAAACAGCAGCCTCACATGCCACCTGGAGAAATAGAAAACTGACTGAAATCTTTCAAAGCAGGTTGTTCATGGCATTATGAGTCTGTTGTGGCCAACCCTTCAATGTTCTAAAATGGGAGAAAGGAGCATCTTCTTATTACTATAAAACTATTCTTTTTTATAGCTGTGAACATGTTCTTACTGCTTTTGAAAATAATAGAAAAATAATAGAAATATAAATTTTACTTCAAATTTTACTGCACTCCATTTGTCATACGTTTCATTCTACTGCCCATAAAAGAACTCTATGACATACTTTAGAATGCAGTATCTTATCATGGTGAATGTTGTCTTTGTGTGCTTACTTAGATTACTGCTGAAGAAGTAAAGGATAATCGGGTAGTCATGTTTGAAGTTGAAGCAAGGAAACTGGACAACAAGGTACTTCAAGGTTGCAATTCTATACACATTTATCTGGGGTTAAATCATATTGAGCAATGGGCAAAATCCAACTTTGTCCTCCTACCAAATAGAATTGACTTGTTTGTGCAACAGGATTTGCTGTTTCTCTCCTTTTTCCTGCAACCCCTGAGCACCCCCCCCCCCCCAGTACCTGCTCTGGATGAGTAGATCCTGTTGTTAGAGAAAGAGAGGGATAGAGAGAGAGCACTTCTACAGAAATACTTAACCACTACCATTGTTCTGACTGGAGTTGCAAAGATTTGCATTCACTGAATTTCCCAAGGAAGGATTAATAATCTGAATGCAACCATGCATGTATGTGCAGCGCTGGTGGAAAAGAGGAAGTGAACTGCATGTTTGTACTTGGCATATAGGTGGTGTCTGTTTTGAACAGGAAGTAATGTAGTGCAAAGTTTATTTAAAGGACTTTCACCCCATTATTTAGCTGAAAAAACTCCAAAGCAGCTTATGAATATCAGTAATAAAATAGTCCAGGCTCTCATTTTTACAATCTAAAAGTCATGACACACAAGGAAAAAGGGAGGAAGGAAAAAAAAGTAGAGACATCAGTTCTTAAAGTTACTGTTCTTATAATGACTAGCCAGGATGGCAGCAATTCAGTTAGCATAATGGAATGGTTTCTGTTAGGTGACAGTTGAAGGCAGGGCCAGAGGCAGGTGCACTATCTAAAAAACCAATGGAATTAGCCCTGCTTTTCTTCTTTCTGCTCTGCAGCCTGATTTTTGCAAACAAAAAAACAGCAACCCCATTCTCTAAAGACAAATTTGAAGCAATAGCCTATGTTTTAATTGCAGGATTTCTTTGGAAAATCTGATCCTTATTTGGAGTTCCACAAGCAGACTTCTGAAGGAAACTGGGTGATGGTGCACAGAACAGAAGTAAGGTGGTTCTCATTCTTTTATGAAGTGGGCTGATTTGACTCATTGCCTATTTTAATACTTTTAGTTCTGTTTTTGTGAGATACTACTGGTTTCTATAACTATAGCACTTTCAGAAAGAAATTTGAAAGCTACTGTATCAGGCAGCATCCTATCCTACTGTGATATGTATGGGAAGCTCCAAGGATAGGATTAGCGATAGTTGTTGGAACAGCCAAAGTTATAAAAAGATGGGTAATGCAAAAAACCCACAACCTTAATAATATTTTAACAATTATTATTTTGTATTTATTTAGGTTATTAAAAATAACTTGAATCCCGTATGGAGGCCATTTAAAATCTCTCTCAACTCTTTGTGTTACGGAGATATGGATAAAACGATCAAGGTAATGTATAAAGGATGAGGAAGTAGAATGAGAATTTAAAACTAAATGTGAGCCTGGTTCACATGCCATACTAAGCCCAAACATTGTTTATTCTTGGCTGCAGTCCATGGTTAGTGAGGAGACTGCTTAAACTTAAGTCCTGGTTCAGATAGCATACCAAGTTTGCCTTAGCTCAGTCGCAGCAAAAAAGTTTGGAGAGGAGCAGAGCAGCTATGAGTATTCTTGCTAAGTCAACATTTGGCTTAGCATGTCATGTGAACAGACTCAAAAACTATTTTTTAAAAATCTGTTCAGGGCCAGATTCATCTACCCAGTCCCTCTAGTGGAAGGTAGCCCAAGGACTTCTGATAGAACAACAGGGTCTTCCCCACCCTCTCTTCTCTCCCTGTGCCTCTGGGCCTCTCCCAAATCTGCTCTGGAGGGTCAGGAAAAACCCCCAGAACAGGATGCAGGGAGAGGAGAGGGAAAAACCATTATGTCAGGCAAGCAGAAATACTTGCTCTGATAGAATGATTCCCTAAGTGCCATGTTGAATTCCACCCTCAATATTTACAATTACATTTTTGTGTGTTATATGGGCTACAAGTGAGCTGTCGGTATGACCCTTTTCTGAAAGTGTAGAAGTTTGTTGGCAGTAGCAGAAATAGCAGCTACTGGGTGTTTGAATACCGTGATGTGGAGAGAATATACCTGAGCTGTTAAATGGGACTTCCTTCTTTTTTGCTTAAACACATTGCGTACATTTAACATGCTTCTCTAAAGATCAAATATCTTACTGGACTACAGAATTCTATAGAATGGGTGTGGTGCCTGTAAAGTAAATTGTTTAACTAAGCTTTAAGAAAGAAGCATTCTTAAAGCTGTGTTTTACCCAGCATTCATAGCTTCATTAAATCTAGTGTTAGCACTGTGGTTGTAACCCAAGAGTCACCTAATAATACTTTAAGCTGTGGTTTGTCCTTGTTTGTTCCCTTTTGCCTTTATTATGATAATCTTTTCCTCTCTTTAACTTGCATTGATGAAGGGTGTTTTCTTCAGCTCATTAATGCTCATTTCATCATGACCTAGTAGCCGGCCCCACAGCAATCCTGTAAAGTCACCAGATCTCAAGCCCTACTGGTCTTGTAAAAGGTGTGCATGTCTGGAGTGTAGCTGATGCACTTAGCCCCCGCCTCACCCCCACCCCACCCTCCACTTGCCATCCTGGGTGCATATCAAGGACATAGGAAGACTTTGGATCCCAAGCCACCTACAGAACTCCCTTTTAATTAACCTTATCTGCTGCCATCAGTCTTCTCCATGTCAGCTTGTAAACTTAGGCTTTTGGTCTCTATGCCCATAGAGAGGGTGATCTGCAAAACAAACTGGCCTCTTGGACCTCACCCCCACCCCACCCCACCCCGGCCAAAGGATTGCCCCTTCATTCATATGTTCACCATCTATTCTCATAATGATAAAAACACTGCTAGTTTGTTTCTGTATGTTTCTATATGTAATGATTATGTTTTGTATTCTAATTCTGCAGCAAAGTAAATTTCAACCCCTGCTGGTTTATTTTTGCCCCTTCATGAGCTAAAATGCAGTTTTCTAATAAACTGTTTTAACTTTTTTGGTGCAAACGAAATACAGAAAAACCTCATATGCATGCAGGTCTGTGCCATTATAATCAAAATCTGGCCTGCCATGTTACATCTTCCTGAGGAAATAGAAAAAGGTGAAACAGAATCTTGCAACCTTATGGAAAACCGTTTAAAATGAAACTACTTTGCTGTAATGAATAAGGGAAAACATTTTATACTATAATGACTGATCAAACAATGCTTTAATACTTTATGCACACAGTGTCTTATGTAACTGGCTATTTCATTATAGTAAGTAAAATCATTTTTCAAGCTCTATCCATCACAAGTGCCTTTCTCTGTGTTAAAATGGCTGTTTGTGTATTCAGTTATAATACACAAACAACTTGCTTTGATATCTCATTACGTTTCCCCCTGAAGTGTGTGTGTTGAAGTGAGTCATTGAAGGCTTCTCTTACTAGGAGCAGGCATGTAGTCATTCATTAGTTCTGTTGTGGGTGGGAAATGTGAATATCTCACAAAAACAAGAGCAAGCTTGAGAAGGCTGTATCAACTGTTAGTATATTGGGTTAAACATCAACTTCTTAATAAGATGAAATATAGCTATAGTAATGCAAAATTTGGCAATGTTCTTAAGAGCTCATACTGAAAGATAAGTTTTTGGTCTTATTCCTTACCCTTTGAATTCAGCTTTACTCTAATTCTGTGTGCTGTCATTACATGAAAATCTGTTTCACAGATTCTCCTTGGTCATAGCAGTGTCTGCATGCGGTTTGCACTGATGGAGAGTGCATGTGCATGTGTGTTAACCTAATACGGTGATGCTCTTGCCATACTTGAGTAGGAGTGGCAATGGGCCCAAGGAACATCAGTGTGAGGTATAATTAAAAGTAACTAGAATTGTTTAAAATAAATGTGAAATACACATTGTACACATAAGTGGCATTTGAAGTTGGAGCCATAAAACAATTATTACGCATGCTTTGTATTTTCAGTGAAACTACAGTTTTGGCTCTGTAGGTCACTGTTGCTGCATTTTAGTCTTGCCTGCCTAATTATCTTGGGACTGATACTCAGAAGTGGCAAAAGCCTGAAGCACACAATTTCTTCTCTTTTGCTCTGTTAAATTACATGGTGCCAGTGCTGTAACCACAACATACTGGGTTAACAAAGAATGCTTCTTTTTTAGGTTGAGTGCTATGATTATGACAGTGATGGGTCCCATGATCTCATAGGGACCTTTCAGACCACACTATCAAAACTGAAGGAAGCGTCGCGACATTCACCAGTAAGTTCTTTTACTTCCCTCCCTACCTCACTGGTAGCCTTAGGCAATCCACTTTCTCTTCTATACAGGCCCTTCCTTATTTATTAGAGTTTTTATGCATGGCCTTCCTTCAGATTAGAGTATTCGATGGATTACAGCACAACATACAGCTTTAATAATAATACTATAAAATAGAACACAGATTCATACAACTTGTAAAAACAACAACACTAGGTCTTAACTCCAATCTGTACCATCAGGTTTCACGGTCCTACCTGCTGCACAAGGTGGTGGGACCATGAACAAGGACTCTCTTCAGCTGATCTTAAGGTTTAGGGTGGCAAGTATTGGGAAAGGTGTTCCATAAAGCTTCTGTACTCCAAGTTTAGTGTTTCATTGTAGTGCCTTCAGAATCAGAGTGACATGATCCTATATGGTTGTATCTGATAACAGGCTGCAACAGTTGCAGCTTCTGAACAACTTTTAAGGGAAACTGTGCAAATCCACATTGCAGGAGACATCTGAAGGCATCCCTGTTTAGGGAAGCTTTTAATGTTTAACAGGTTATTGTATTTTAGTGTTCTGTTGGAAGCTGCCCAGAGTGGCTGGGGAAACCCAGCCAGATGGGCAGGGTATAAATAATTTATTATTATTAATTATTATTATTATTATTATTATTATTGTTATTATTATTATTATTATTATTATATTAAGTAATACATGCACAGCTCCCTTCCCCTCTCTTTTAGCACAGCTTTAGGGAAGGAAACACAAGTTTTGGTTTGTTTTGAACTAACCACATAGTTGTTATTAATGTCTGAACCTGAACAAACTATAGATCAACTATGTTTTGAAGTTGACTTGTTTTCCCAAAGCATAAAAAAGGTAAAGGTAAAGGACCCCTGACAGTTAAGTCCAGTCACAGACAACTCTGGGGCTGTGGCGCTCATCTCGCTTTACAGGCCGAGGGAGCCGCATTTGTCTGCAAACAGTTTTTCAGGGTCCTATGGCCAGCATGACTAAGCTGCTTCTGGCGAAACCAGAGCAGCGCACAGAAACGGTGTTTACCTTCCTGCCAGAGCAGTACCTATTTATCTACTTGTACTTTTTGGCGTGCTTTCGAACTTCTAGTTTGGCAGGAGCTGGGACTGATCAACGGGAGCTCACGTGGGGATTCGAACCGCCGACCTTCTGATTGGCAAGCCCAAGAGGCTCAGTGGTTTAGACCATAGCGCCACCTGCATCCCACTCCTAAAACATACTTAAGAATAAACATGCACAGCATCAAACTGTGACTGGTAGACAAAAAGCTTCTGCTTACTTCCTTGTAGTTGTGCTGGAGAGAAAGTGGGGAACTTACAAGCTGTTTTTTCATAACACTAAGCCATTCCTTGCTGCAAATAGACCAAATCTAGAAGTGGCAGAATGTAATATTGCTAAAGGGTCCCAGACTATCTCAAGTTCTGTAAACTTTGAAGTAAGTATGCTTAGGATATCAGTCTTAATATGTGCAATTTTTGCCCTGCTGCCGTTTTGTAGGCTGAATTTGAATGCATCAATGAGAAGAAGAGGCAAAAGAAGAAAAGCTACAGAAATTCAGGCATTGTGAGTGTTAAACATTGTGAGGTCAGTATCAAATTTTTTCTCATTCAGTTGTTAAGTTTACAGCAGTAATAATCACATTTGACATTGTATCATCCCAGCATAAAGGCATGGGCCGCAGTCTTGAGAAAATGAGGCATCCATAGATATCCACTGGGATTTAGACAGCTAACTGTACTTAAAATATGTCTCTGGATTGTTCCATTAGTCAGGGCAAGGGTGTTAAACTTCTAAATACTAAATAGAATAAACTAGTACTGCTTGCCAATGCTCTTTTTATTTTTAACAAATCTACAATCCGTCAATATAGAATTACTTTAAATAGCCAAAAGTTGATGCATAGTACAGTGGACCCTCGGGTTATGTTACCTTTGGGTAACATAATCTTCGGGTTGCAAACGCGGCAACCCCGGAAGTGGGTTTGTCGCTTGCGCACGAGCAGAAGCAGTCCTTCGGTTATTAAATCTTCAGGATACAACAAGGCCCCCGGAACGGATCCTGTTAGCAACAGGAGGTACCACTGTAGAACAAATAATAGGTCTTATTGATCCCTGCCCAACATAGGAACAGATACTTTTATTGCATTGTGTTTTGTACTGTGAACAACTGTGGTATCATTTAGAGGAAGAGCTGTGTATATATATATTTTTAATGAAACAACTTGAGAAGTGTTTCTCAGCATGCTCATGCAAAAGCACACAGCCACTTCCTTTAGTGTGCTCAGTCCTGGGCCAGTATCATATGCCCACCTATTCCCTCCCTCTTCACTCTGTCAAGAAATACAAGCTCTGAGTTCACTGTATGTGTGAGTATACACACTCTGTAATGCTAAAACAAGATTCTTTAAAAGCAAAACTAAGCTCTGCAGAACTGGTCTTGGCCGTTCAGTAGGAGTAGATGAGAGTGGGGAGTTTGTTTTCTCAGTGCTTAATTCAGATGCATTGAAGCTCATCTGCATAGCACTGAATAATGATCTAGAAGTATATGGAAACACAACCTGACTGGGCAGGTGGACAGACCATTATGTCCTGTGTTGTCAGGATTTTTTCATGCATGGTGCTGCATCTGCAGCGGACTTCTATTGAACTGTGGTTGTCTGCCTCAATCATCTAGCTTGTATATTAAGTCCATCTCTTCATTAACATTATTGCCACTTCTGCCATCATTGTAAATCTTTTTTTCTCTCTCTCTCCTCTGCCCCCCTACGCCAAGTTTCAAAACCCATGCTGATGGCTAAAGGGCTCAGCATTGACTGTAGGGGTGGCACTGTGTTCTGAAACCAAACCAATTATCATATTTTTTGCTCTATAAGACTCACTTTTTCCCTCCTAAAAAGTAAGGGGAAATATGTGTGCGTCATATGGAGCAAATGCAGGCTGCGCAGCTATCCCAGAAGCCAGAACAGCAAGAGGGATTGCTGCTTTCACTGCGCAGCGATCCCTCTTGCTGTTCTGGCTTCTGAGATTCAGAATATATTTTTTCTTGTTTTCCTCCTCCAAAAACTAGGTGCGTCGGTAATTGCCTTATCCTAATAGGTCTATGTTCCTGAGTGTATCACTGAGTGCTTTGATGATTGATTTTTTTTGCAGATTATAATGGAGTGTACTTTCCTTGACTACATCATGGGAGGGTGCCAGCTGAATTTTACTGTAAGTAAGCTGTAGCTCAGCTCTTTTAAGAGAAGAAAGGGGACCAAATCCACTTGAGAATAATTGTGTGGGGTTGTCACACCAGAACCAAAGACTGGACTATAATAAAGATCCTAACCAGAACTAGCTGGGATTTGAACCGTTGGCCTGAAAGCTACTAAGCACTGTGGGTGAGGAAGCATATAGAACGTGCATGGTGTGGAATATGTTGGTGCTTCCCTCCTAATGGGGGAGGGAAGTTGAGGTATAGGAGGCTTGCAGTCAAGGAGGATCTGTACTTTAGAAAAGTAAAAAAAGAATACCTGATTTGTGTGAAAACTGTTGGTTAGGATCAGGAGTTGCTGTAAATCCCCACAGGAGCAGGAGCTAGAGCAGGAGTGGGCAACTCTAGATCCTTATTTAGTATGGCTTTTTAAATTCTGCCATCCTTTAAAAAGCTCAGGACACAGCATACACAGCTCTCATCCCCCCCCCCCATTCCTATTTTATCATTGCAACAACTTCGTGAGAAAGGTTAGCCTGGTTTTCTAGGAAGGTGCTCCCAGTAATTTTTAGGTTTAGAACAGTGGCTGGAGGGAAGACATATTCAGTCAAATGAGTAATTGAGATTTGTGCCACAATAATCATGTTTCACTCAGCTTGGTCCATTCTATGCTTGTTTGTTAGTTCAACAGCAAAACTAAAACTAAGTAAACTGCATGCTTCCTCAGCCTTGATGTCTCTCAGGTTCTCCCTGCCCAACCCAGTTTTTCAAATAGTTGTTGTTAAGATTACGAATATTATTCTGCCCTTCACCCTGAGGTCCCAGGGCAGGTTACAACAGTTTAAAATACAGCATTAAATACAATTTAAAACAACTTAGGATCAGAAAAATAGGGCGGGTCCTAAAAATACAGCAGTGCTAGTACAATTCTGAGCAGAAAGTAATATTCACCTCAGTGATGTCTGTACCTTTCGACAGGTTGGCATTGACTTTACTGGCTCGAATGGAGATCCTCGCTCCCCAGATTCCCTACATTACATCAGCCCTAATGGCGTGAATGAATACCTGACTGCCATTTGGTCTGTTGGGATGGTCATTCAGGACTACGATACGTAAGTTTCTCTGCTAGTCTTGTTCTCAATATGCTTTTGTATATTAAAATTAAAGCACTCACATTTAGGATTATGACATAACTCAGAACTTGGGATATATATATCCTACGAAAGCAAATATATATATATATATATATATATATATATATATATATATATGCAGGTTTTGGTGTCCTCGGGTGTCTTCCCGTGTAAAAGTTGGGGTGTCTAGGCGACGTTTCGACGAGGTCTCACTCGTCATCTTCAGGCTGGTGCTTTCGGCTTCTTGTTACTGGAACAGAGCAGGATCTCAGTGTTTGAGTTCCTATAAATACTGTTGAGGGGGTGTGGTGTATAGCCTCCAATGTTCTGGGCAGAGAGGAAGTTCCCAGGCTAGTGTGCCTTTTCTTCTTTTGTTCCTTAATTACTTGGGGGATATCTTGAGTGATTTCTTGAGTGATATTCTGAGTACCACTTAGGTGGGTCATTAGGTGTGGATTAGTTGCTGAAGCCTTCGTGTCTTGACCTCTTGAACTTTGTGAAGAGTTTTTCTGAGAAGATGGTTGTACTGCACTTAGTTTTGCTCTTAGTACAACCATCTTCTCAGAAAAACTCTTCACAAAGTTCAAGAGGTCAAGACACGAAGGCTTCAGCAACTAATCCACACCTAATGACCCACCTAAGTGGTACTCAGAATATCACTCAAGAAATCACTCAAGATATCCCCCAAGTAATTAAGGAACAAAAGAAGAAAAGGCACACTAGCCTGGGAACTTCCTCTCTGCCCAGAACATTGGAGGCTATACACCACACCCCCTCAACAGTATTTATAGGAACTCAAACACTGAGATCCTGCTCTGTTCCAGTAACAAGAAGCCGAAAGCACCAGCCTGAAGATGACGAGTGAGACCTCGTCGAAACGTCGCCTAGACACCCCAACTTTTACACGGGAAGACACCCGAGGACACCAAAACCTGCATTCCTGTACCCGTGAAAATCTACGAAAGCAAATATATATATATATATATATATAAAATAACAGCCCCCCCCCCAAAAAAAAAAAAAATTGCTCATTTTTCTCCGGAAAGGTGTGGAGTTCTGGTTTCTTTTTGTCCCGACTTTGTTGAGCAATGTAGATGTGTTAGAACAGAATGTGTCTCATTGGTATATTCTCTTGGTGAAGGGAACTGCAAATTTTGTCTAGACTTGGCAGTTCAGTTCTAGCACCTAATGAATTAGTATAACATTAGAGTAATTATGTTGGCAATATATGAAGATTGTACAGTGGTACCTCGGGTTACGTACGCTTCAGGTTGCAGACTCTGCTAACCCAGAAATATTACCTCAGGTTAAGAACTTTGCTTCAGGATGAGAACAGAAATTGTGCTCCAGCGGCAGCGGGAGGCCCCATTAGCTAAAGTGGTGCTTCAGGTTAAGAACGGACCTCCAGAACGAATTGAGTACTTAACCCGAGGTACCACTGTACTACAGATCCTGCTCTGAATGGATTGTGTCTTATTTTGCAGATAGTTGATGGTACTGTTTCGTCACGTTTTACAAATCACCAGTGTAGCTGGCTGATTTAATTGGTTTTGTCTTTCAGCTCACCTAGAAAGCCTTTCCAGAGGGTCAGGGGATCCCTCCTGGAAAAAGGGGATCTGCTGGGGAGAGATGGGGATGGGAAATTTTCCCTCAGGGAACTTTGCGTTCATGAAAGTGACTTTAGCATTTAATAGCAGTGCAAGCAAGAGATTTATGCTTTTATTTGGTGAAAGAATGTAGAACAGTGACTTGTTCATAATGGTTTGCTCTAAATTGCTTTTATAGAGATAAGATGTTCCCAGCTTTTGGGTTTGGAGCTCAGATTCCTCCCTCTTACCAGGTAAGGTGAAACAATTTTGTAAAAAAAACAACAAACCTGCCTGATTAGAAATGGACCTATAAAATAATTAGAACATCTTCCATATATTTACAGGTGTCACATGAGTTTCCATTAAATTTTAACCCATCAAACCCATTTTGCAGTGGTAAGTTTGAAAATTTTTAAGTTACGGATGTTAAAGAATGTCCTGGCATTTCTAGGTTTATTGTAGGTCATAGCAAGGTGACAATAGCTCAGTTTGTAGGTTTTTGAACTAGCACCATTATTTTTAAATTTGCTATATTTATATAACGCTGTCAGGGGGCACACAATCATTAAATGCTAAAATACAATATCCCAAAATGACAATATCACAAGTAACACCTTGTGTCCTAAAAATTCCCAGCAGAGAGAATAAAATCAGGTAACTAAAAAGTTACACAGTGCATAAACAGTGGTTCTTTAACATTGTATAATTGAAAGAAATGTCAACTGGAAGAAATAAATCTGATCAAAGCTGTCAGGTCTTAACCCAAAATGAAGATAGGGGAAGATATTATTTATTAAAATTGTCACATAAATGAGAGGCCTGGGTAGGTTACAATTTCTTCCCAAGTTTCATTCTGCCTAATTAGTACTTGTGGAAGAAAGAATTGAAATGAGTGTGTTTACTACCCATTGCAAGCACTTTAAGTTAATAGTAATTCTATTCTCTCTGTGCTGCTATGTTTGAGGCCATACTTGCTAATGTGAAACGAACCTCCCCTAAGAGAGGTACTGTAAGTTTAGCCTCAAAGACCCCCAAGTCTTAATTACTGTCCTGTAAACCTCAGCATCCCCCACCCCCTGCCCCATCACCACACTATTGGAATCTTAAGTTTCATACGCTATTCTGCTAGCTAGGCCAGTTACCCTTATATGCCTGAGATAACCAGCAGTATGGGGCTTTGAATCTGACAAATTATTCCATAAGGACACCCTTTTATTTATATATCTATATATGCTTACTGAAGCTTCAGTACACTAGAGTGTCTATCATTAAAGCTGTGGAAGAGATGCTAATATTGAAATGTAGTGAAGAATGTTTACTTAACTTCCCCAGGAATCCAAGGCATTGTGGATGCATACCGGGCCTGCCTTCCTCAAGTAAGATTGTATGGGCCCACCAACTTTTCTCCAATAATAAATCACATGGCTAAGTTTGCTGCTGCAGCTACACAGCAAAAAACAGCTTCTGTAAGTCCTTTGTAATTTCTAAATGAGCATGCTCTTACTCATCTTTTATTGGAGGGCAATCCAACCCCGCTCCCCGGACATTGATGGTGGGGGAGATACCATGTAGGTGTCTATCTGCTCAGAGAGAGGAGCACTACTAATGTGGAGGTGGGGAGGGCAGCAAGCCCTGAAAAGGGGTGTTTGGGAGTGGTGCACCAGTGGCTTTGGAGTTAGTGGGTTCAAGTCCTGAGGATTCCCTGAGGGGCCAGACCCTTCATGCAGGGAGGGGAGGCTATATTGCTGAGCCTGATGCCAAGTGTGGTGTTGGCAGCAAGAATCTACTTTTGCACTCCTGGATGAGAAGTAGGGTTGGTGACAAGCACAAAACGTGGGCATTTAACATGTGTGGACCCCTATGGAGGAAACTTAATTAAATGTTTCGTTGTGGAATCGAAGCTTCAACTTTAAGAGAGCTTCAGTTGTAGGCACTGGTGGAGTCAGATAATTATCTCCCGAGAGTTGATACACCCATAGAATTGGCCTGGGATTGTGTAAGAATTGTTCCCCCGATAAAGACTTTGAGCCTTGAATGAATCTCATTCTGTACCAACCTTTTCCTTTGATAGAAGGGTGCCTCTATATCAGTGCCACCTGCTACTGTATTTCAGGAGTTTATTTCTGTTCTCAGTTTTAACAAGGTGTCCAATTGTTCAACAGCAATATTTTGTGCTCCTGATCATCACTGATGGGGTGATAACAGACCTTGATGAGACCAGATCTGCCATTGTTAACGCAGCTAAGCTTCCCATGTCCATTATAATTGTTGGTGTCGGAGGAGCTGATTTCAGTGCCATGGAATTCCTTGACAGTGACAGTGGGGCTCTGAGGTCTCTTTCAGGAGAGGCTGCTATTAGAGACATCGTTCAATTTGTGCCATTTCGACAGTTCCAGAATGTAAGTACTGTTTCTAATGACACCCTTAATGCTTGTTAGATTATAGCAGAATGGTTCAGCCAAAATCTTGGAGTTCTGATGTGAGATCCAATAGCTTTGGCATTTTTGGCTTACAAAGTTAACAAAAGATCTGTGTGACTGCAGTTCAAGAAGAGCTATGGAAATCTCCCAGAAAGCCAGTTGCTGCTGGTCTAAATACATGTGAATTATCTTATATACACACACAAACAAGTAGGGTCTGAAGCTTTTTGCATGATGAGATATAATGAGGAACGGGAAAGTAGAGGTTTTTTTAATGACAGTGCTCCAGTAAAAATTGTCTACCACTTATAAACCAGTACAGAGTGCTCTGCTTGAGCATCTTGGACTGTGAGTTGGTTGAGAGGAAAAGAAGACGCTTCATGAACCAGTGTGATGGCAGCTTTATATGTTCCTTCTTAGGTGGGACTGTACTGAGAAATTTATCAATGACCATTTCCTCTGGCAGTGTGAAAGTGAAGAAACCTGAGGCCAGAGGGCCTCCTGGGATGTGCTGTGACCTTCAGCTGATGATTTGATTGAGATGTTTAGGAGACACCCAACTGCTGTATGTAGCCTGCATATGAACCAGATTGTTGCAGGACTGGCTGTGCAGCCTAACAAGCTTTGCATAAAGACTTGGGACTTTATGTATCCGTTGCCCCTCCTGTGAGCAAAATAATTGAAAAACAAAAACAGGATGAAAGATTGTAATTCTGGTCTCAGTGAATAATTGTTTGATCTAAACATGATACTCTTAGTAACTGTGGCTGAGAATCTACCCTATTACAGAAGAATTGAGTCATTTGGCTAGTGCATTTCATGGATAAAAGAATATTGTGTCCCAAAAGGAAGGGTATTTTCCTTTTTTAAAATGTAAGAAAGGCTCCTATTACAGTCAAATGATATGGAAGGCAAAGCTCATCAGTTACCCCAGAGTGAAATAAAAGGCAGACATTTCCTCTTCCTATTCAGACACACAGTCTATTGTGTAAATATCATTTCACTTATAGTCATTTTATTTGTAGAATAAAATTGGAAAGCAAAAATGCCTTTGCTTTCCAGAGAGCCCTTTTCTGAAGACCTGTTTGTGTGTGAAATCTCATAATAGGTTTTCTGCACATTTTATGCTCCATTTCCACTCCCTGCTGAAAAGCTGAAATTAGGGCATCAATGTTCCTTACTTTTCATTATTTGTTTAGGCAAACTGCCGTAGGGCGGGGGGGGGGGAATCCCTTACATTCTAATGCGCTGCCACTGTAGGTTGTACTTTAACTTGGTAGTTAATAGTTTGCCTTTATCACTCTGCATGTAACAGGATTCACTTACTATAAACAGGCTCTGTTTTTCCTAGTATCTCATGCTTGGAACTTGAAATGCCCTTGGAGGAGAAGTTCAGGTTAAGTAATGCTTCAGGGAAAGGTTAGGGCTATATAGACTGGAAGAAATTACAGTCATTAACCAACCTCAGCAGCTTAATTTTTATGGCATGTTAACTGCCCTGGCTAGTGGCAGTTTTTATGGGCATTACATAACAGTTATTCTCTCTGGATATTCTTGTCTTAAGTTGATCTGGTAACCATCTTGTGGATTATCTAAATTACATTAAGCCATTCAGCTTTTATAGGTATGAACTAGTCAAGTGGCTTAGGGATTTCATAGTAAACGGTAATGAAATAATAAAATCCAGTGTGTTGCCCCATACAGATTAATGGTGGGACCAAATGGGCAAGTAAACTTTCGGCTGACATTGTGTGGTGTATGTTCAAGGAAATGGCTTTAAGTTGATCTTCCCAAATCAGCAGGGACTAGATTGTGTGCTTTCTTTGCTTGACTCTGTTTCTCCTTTGAATAAGGCTCCCAAAGAAGCGCTTGCTCAGAGTGTCCTGGCAGAGGTGCCTCAGCAAGTGGTGAACTACTTCAGCACATTCAAGCTCCAGCCTCCAAACAACCCTGCAGCAAAGCAAGATGGGAGCTGAGCAGCTGACCCTGAGTATCCAGTTCCTTATGTGGGGAATGTCTTCACCACCTTCCTCTGCAGTGCCAACAGGCCAGGGTGGATGACAGGACCTTTTGATACAGCACATAAAATGCATAAACTGTTTCAGATACTCCTTTCTTTCATTTTTTGTTCTGGGTCGCCAAAGATGCCATTTTGCTTTAACAGTCAATTGCAAGTGAGACTGAAAACTTTATTTAGACTTAACAAAACTCTCAAACTATGTACATCTTCAGGAAGAACATGCAAGTTTGCTTTTTTGCCATGCCATCACCCCTTTGGCTGCTTATAGTGCCCAGGACAAAACACAGTGTGCCTCCAGCTGCAGTTAGGTACAGGGCTTTAGTGTGCCTTTGAAAGCAGTGCACTGTACCCATCTTGACTTCCTCCTTTAAGAGAGCCTTGGCTGCTCAAAGCTTGCATAAGCTTAATATAAAATGTTCAACCATTTTCAGGGAAGCATCAAGACCAGGGCAGAGTGTAAAGGTCTGTCTTCATTCTCCCCTCACCCCCAAATGACTAATATGTTGTCTTTCTTGGCCATTTATGAACATTTGTATCATTATGAAACAGTGAAAAGTGAGTATAAAGTGGTACCTTGAAATGTGCTATAGTAAGACTTTCAGATGTTAATCATGTTGGTTGTTTTTCAAATCAAGCATCTCATGTTTATGCAATGTTGCCAACAGTTGCAACACAGAAGATATAAATTTAACAAGGATTTCTTTGACTGCATATCATACAGGCATATCTCGGGTTACAGATGCTTCAGGTTGCGTTTTTTTGGATTATCGACCGCAGAAACCCGGAAGTACCAGAATGGGTTACTTCCGGGTTTTGGCAGCCATGCATGTGTAGAAGCACCGAATTGCAACCCGTGCGCTCGCAGATGTGCCGCTGTGGGTTGCAAATGTGCATCCTGCACGGATCACGTTTGCAACCCAAGCGTCCACTGTATTACGAAGCTAGTTGACTTTTAGAGAATCTGACTAGAAAGTAATAGCATGTGACTTGTTGTGGACTAGGAAGCCCAGTATGTGCCAATGAGGAAGGACCCTTCCTTGATAGAGTATTTTTCTCAATTTTATAGCTGTCTATAGAGAGAGGTGTATATGCTACTGAACCTGTATTCTTTTTTCACTTTAATTTTTTACGCTGTCTTGGTTTAGCTAGTTCTAGGATGCCTCTCATTTGTGCTAGAGCACAGTTGGCCCAGAATGATTGAATTTGTGTTCTAGAGTGACATGGATTGGACTGAGGTGTCTGAAAATGATTGTGAATTGTGTAGTAAGAAAAAGTGTGGGTCAGATCCACATCCTGTAAATGATTGTTCAGGGTCTAGATGCACATTATTCCTCTGAAGCTGGAACCATATTCCTTCAGTCTCCATGCTTTGCCTTGTGGTCATGTTAAAACTCAAGGGTGTCAGATTGATGTTTATTATGTTCAATCAAATGTATCTACTCTGTGGATAATCAAAAGTAGTGGTGTATTTGGAATTATCAGCTGTTGCTGTGATTTAATGTTTTATTCCTATAGTGGATAGACTACATTGAACTGTCTCTTGTTCTCAGACCATTGATAACTTTTATTTTTTGTTATGTCACCTTTTGCAAGTTTTTATATACATCATGGTTTCTCATTTACTGGATAGCAAAGCAAAACTGGATTCAGGGTTGTTTTGAAATTACTATTTCGTGGATTATAGCCAACCTTGTATTTGCTGTTTTTAAAGTCCAGAAGTTTTGAGGATCACCAAATTGAAATTCAGTTATTCTTCTTTCTCTGTGTGAATCAAATGCCCATATAACTGCAGCAGTATTCTGTAGCAAAGTCTGAAAAAAACCCATCCCTGTCTACTTTCGTTAATGGTTCACACATCTCATTTCAAAGTGAATGAGAAAACAGCATCTTATATGGATGCCATTTCCCACATGCATTCCAGTCCATTCAGTGTCTGTTCTGTACTGTGTATTTCTCATCTCATAACAGGCCTTTAATAGCTACAGTGTGGCTTGAATCTGCCAAGTTTATACTGTAATGGACTTCCGGACCTAAATAGGGGTGGACCAGAACTCAGTATATATATATTAAAAAAAAAAATTCCAAAAGCAGCATCCCCAGAAATATTAACAGTATTTCCTTAATGTCAAAGCTTATTTTTATCTCCTCCATTTGTCTCTTCAGCATGAGTTATGCATTAGCACCACCTTGTGGTGGAAGTTGATCATTAGTTGCTTTTGTAACGAAAGGAATCTACTTTTTCCTGTATATTTTCAAAGCAAAATATAGCTTTATGAAGAAAGTATCTTACGGTGTACGGTATTTCTATGCACAACACTATTCCTTGTGTAATACAGTTTCTTGTATTTGAAGTTAGCTTCAGGTGTAACATTATCTTAATGCCATATAACACAGTATATTAAACTCCACTTATGCCCCTCAGCAGTTCTAATGTCTTTTGTCATCTTTTGAAGCTCTGAATATCCATTTGCTGATTATTGTGGCTTTCACAGAAAATAGAAATAATGTCCCTGCTTTGCGCTTTTAAGAAATTAGCTTGTATTCTAACTTTCCAAGAGCCTTCCCTCATTCCTTTTCTCTCTGAAGCCTCCTGCCACCCCTTGAAAATCTGCTCCTGGGTGTTGGGGGACCCTTGCAATGGGGCAGAATATGATGCAAGAGGCTGTTGGGGCAAGATTAGGGAACAGGTTGGAAATCTACCATTCTTGAAGGAGGAGCAGCTTGGAATCCAAGCCTTTCAGGGATTTTTAACTACATAAATTACAAATGTTTGTCTGTGAGATAACAAAGTACAAATCAGTGGTAGAGAAAACTGGAATGAAGAGAGGGAAATGAGCAGACAACTATGAAGTTTAGCAACAATATTTCATAATGAACAGTCCTGTGTTCCTGTAGATCAGCGATTTTCAAACTTGTGGTCTGGCACTAAACTGACAACAACTTTTTTTCTCCAAAAAAGATTTTGGGGTCTTTATGCTAACTTTAGTTTCTTCAGAATGAAAGAAGAGGGGTTGACATAGAAGCCCAATAGGGGGTGGGGCTGTCAGCGGCGGAGCAAGCCGATCAGGTGCCTGGGGTGGCGCATGTGCCCTGCACCCAGGGGTGGGGCCACCCGGGGCAGGACACTCCGTGGGGCCTCCAAGGAGTCTGCCTGCATCCTCCCCTCAGTCGCCCTACAGCTGAGGGGGAGTCAGCAGGCAGACTGGGGCAGCGCGGAGCCTGCAGGCGCCCAAGCCACCACATCACTCCAAGTCACAACTTTCTTGTGCTAAGAGCAGGGAAAATATGCCTTAAATGAATAAATCTGCAAGGGAAAAAACTTTGGTCCTGGAGAGCCAGGTTCAGTCAGAACAGATAGAAGACATCTACTTTAAATCAGGATGAACATATGGAGTGGGTACCCAGATTTCTTTGTCTGGTTAATAGTCCAGTGGGAAGCCCACTCTATGGCTGTTCCTCAACCATGTTTTACTTTCTTTATGCAAAAATTTCATTAGGAGTAGCTGCAAGTTCAGTCGTCTTCTTAGCCTAGTTCCAGAAATAATTACCCCCAAAAGGCATGGGTTACTTCTTTCTGGAGAACAGAACCACAGGGTCCTAATGATAAGAGGAGAGAAATCAAAATTTGCTAATATGCTAATATCTCTGCAGCAACCTTTTCTGAATTTTTGCTCTGCCACAGATATTTTAATACTTTGGAGCAAATGTGAAGCACAAGGGTTAACTGATGTCCTCTTGCTGGGCTCCTTTCCCTAATCTGATGACATTAGAACAGAAAAAGGCTCATAAAGCAGCAGATTGGGTTTAAAACAGCTCAGTTAGGTAGGATCTGACCTTTCTGCCAACAGTGGTTTATTAGCCGAGGAGAGGAAGAAATGGGGCTGTTACTCTGGAGGCTTGCTGCTCTAAATGAAATAGTGAAACAGGATGGAGGGCCATAAGGAAAGAACTCTACTGGGGAGAACCTATTATGAGCTCTCATACCCACCTTGTTGCTCTCCAAGGGCTGTGTAATACTCCGCAAAGCAGAGCTGCTTCTTAGGATGTAGGAGACAATTTCAATAGAAGCAAACCAGCCAGAGAGCTTTTTCCTCTACTGTCAAGCAAACCTGTTCCCCATCAAACTTGTCTCAGCCGGGGTGGGGAGGAGGGGGTTAATTTGGCCCAAGATGGCAGTCCCAATGAAGAAAGGCCTTCCAAAAGGCCATTTTCTCCAGCTGAGGTGCAGAAGGGAGAGGCCTTGTATTTTTTATACTAAGATAGGTGTGAGGAACCTGTATAGATGCAAACTTAGAGGGGGGGGGGACTAATTTCAGTAGAAACATGTATCTAAAAATAAGCAGATTTAGTCCTGTAAAATTGAATTGGGCACCCAGAACTGGGTACAATGCACAGCAAGAAGATCCACCAGTTATACTTGATCCCTCACTTTGACTTCAACAGTAAGAATATCTCCTTCTCCTGGGGTGCTGGAAGGAGTCATGCTAATGATAAGGGACTGGTTAGTGGTTCCTCTGAGTAAATTTGGTTTAGGAGGAGCCGGTGGTGTTGGCTGGCTGCTGGGAGCTGGTTCTTCCTTATGGGCAGACGGTTCCGCTTGCATCTGTGGCTCTTTGGCCTCTGCAGACTGTGTTGGGTTTATTTCTGTAGGTTTGGTTTCAAGCTTGGCTTTTTCTTTTTTGTCTCTTTCTGCCTTTTGTTCCTTTTCTTTCTTTGCTTGTTCTTCCTTTTCTTTCTTTGCTTGTCCCTCCTTTTCTTTCCTTGCTTGTTCCTCCTTTTCTCTCCTTGCTTGTTCTTCCCTTTCTCTTTCCTCCTGAAACAAAAACAGTTAAATATTAACTTCTCTTTTCCTTTTCCGCCTTTTCTCGTTCTTCTTTTTCTTTCTTTGCTTGTTCTTCCTTTTCTTTTTCCTCCTGTAACAAAAACAATTAAATGTTGTTAAAGAAGGATGCTTGACAGGAAATTAAGATCATACCTAAGACCCCTCTGCATAGTAGGTGAGTACAGTCCATCAAGCACAGCTAAAGGGATACCCACATTGATTTCAGAGTGGCTTGACATTGTCTTTGAAGCTCTATAAATGTTCTACTGAGATTAGTGGATTCTGCATCAGTCACATGATGCAGCGATGCAAGACAGGGCCTTCTTTGTGATGGCACCTCAACTGTTGAGCTCCATCCCTTCTGAAATGCAACATGTGCCTACCCTTTTTTCATTTAGACACCAGCTTAGAAGCTTGCACTTTTCACCTAGGCATTAGGAAGTGGTTAATGTTCAGCTGGAATTTGTAGTTTTGCTTTTTCAGTGACCTTTTATTTTTTTAACTTTTATTTTTTACTGTTACTGCCTTGAGAGATCTTTTGATACTATATTGATATTTGAAATAAATTGAAATATTTTAAATAAACAAGCATGTGCAGAACTCTCCGGAGGTAAATTTCCTCCAAAAAATGTCTCCCATGTGAAAAAGCAGGCATGATCATATCCTGAAAAATATTTTCGAGTGCAATTGGAGGAGAAAAGTCACCAAATGGTAACTTGCCCAGCAAAAAATAGCCACGTGCCTTGGCTCACTGTGAGAATGCAGAGGTGTGGTCCTGGACTTTTTGTGTGTGTGAGTGATATTATGCTTACATGTCTATATTTTAACTGATGTTATTTTTATTGGTTACTTCTTTACTTGTTGTCGTGCATTTTATTATTGTTTAGTTACAAGCTGTCTTAGGAAAAACTATCTTAAAGTTGGGTTATAAGTGATTAAACTAAAACGCTGGTTGAAGTCCTGTTGGACAGGCTCAGCTCAGACAATAAATCCACATTTCATGGTTTATGAAGCTAGAAATGAAAGCCAGCACCAAGCGCCTCTCCTTTGCTCCCCACCCCTTTATTTTCCTGTTTATGTCAGTGTCTGACATAACAAGTAACTCTGGCTTAGCTTTTGTGATGGGACGGAAGGTTGTTGCCTCCTCCAGCCCCTCCTCCATAAGGGTATCCTGTTAAAAGGATCTGGGGTTGTGGATCCTGTCCAAAGGCCGGTTGTGGGTTAGGGCCATGCCATGACCCATCCGGCACACTGCCCCCCCCCAATTTGACGTATGTTGTAGAGCTCCCCCTACCCTTAGTGTGACTCCCTGCAGACAGGCAGGAGTCGGGATATACTCTGGTTTCACCCAGTGCCTAAACCAAACCGCTCACATCTGTAATCACAATAAAGTTGTGACCTATTTCAGCCCATTAACCTAAAATATCCGTGTCCGTTTATTATATAAGGGAACTACAGGGGTTTGTTACGCAATTAATGTATAAAGTACAGCTTTCTTCTGTCTGCCCCAAATCTGCTGACAGTAAACTTCATTGTGTTGTTCCAAATGCCAGTAATTATGAGGAAGAAACAGTTTGTCTCTAATTCACTTTCTTCATACTGTGACCCATCTTATGAAATTATTTATTTGTTTAAATGCAGCTAATCGGGAAGATCCTTGAGAATATGGCAGAAGGAAAGGGGATCTCTCCATCTGTGCTGATCACTGCTATCTGCTTCAGAAAGAAAATTGCTACATTAATGGGGATGAACTGAAACACACCGTCATTGTTGTCTTCATCAGGATGGGTTTATAAAACTTGCATCCCCTTCTGAAGACTCTGCTCAGCACATTTCCCACTGCTTATAAATCTGGTGGGAGGGTATGTGCCTTCTCAGACATCTCCGAGTGCGATGGCATGGTAATGCCTGCCATCTCCTTGGGCTTGGATGTTTAACGAGGATTAGATTCCTTGCTCCTGGTAGTTCCTCTAACTAACCTGACCTCCACCCCACCCTGACTTGGTATTCTCCCTGTTTATCTCTTCCACATTCCAGGCTCCCCATGGAACTTGCAGCATTTGTGAGTACCTGTTCCTCCATCTGTCTCTTCAGCTGGATAACAGCCGCCATGCCGCCACCTTTTCCACCCAGCAGCGCTTGGAACATCTTGGGTGGTTCTACTTTCTGTGTTAAGAGGGTCAAGCCTTTGGCAGGTGCTGTTGGTCCTCCCACAGGCTTGCCTGCCTTCTTTATGAGCACTCTAGATCATAGGAAAAGTGGGAGGGGGGGGGAGAGAGAGAGCATGTGAAATAGTATTTGAACAGCCTCCTCTCTATTTAGTAGTTTTGCAGTCCATGTAATATTCCTGATCCTGGATTCCCAGCCAGGCAGCAAAAGACACACAGTTCGTCCATCAGCTTTTATTGGAAAGGGATGCCTTGTGCGATGCCTGACCTGCAACTTCCAGTTCCATTATTTGTATTTCATTTGTTTCCTTCAAAGCGCTCGGGGCTTTGAATACAGTTCTCTCCTCCCACCCACCTCCTCCTATGTTCCATTAGGAATTCAATAATTCTGCCTTGTTTGTGTACCGATTTGCCTTCCCACCCAAGGCAATCAAGCCGCAACATATAAAAGCACAGACCCATGCACCAGGGGGGACTTTCTTTTAAGTTTCAGTTCTAAGCAACAGCCATCTCACGCCAATCTGCATACTGGTGGCTGCTTAAAAATTCAAGGAAATCCAGCGGTTCCTTGCAGAAACAGATTAGTCCACTCTGGAAATAATATGGAAAAGCTGAACTGATTTTTTATATCGGCAAGATACATGAAAAAATTTAATGCAGACTCCTAATTAGGTCTGATCTGTAATTGCCTCCTGGGCGAGGGCAAAAAATAGGTAAGAGTGATTGTCCTAGCCACCCGTAGGCATAATGAACATTAAAAGCCCTGCTGGATCAGGGTTTTTAGGGTTAGACTCTATTTAATCTAGCATCCCATTTGTCATAGTAGCGAACCAAATGTTTCTAGGTAGCCAACAAGCAAGTGCATGAAGGCAACAGTTGTCTCTTGTTGCTCCTCATGAGCTGGTACTCAAAGCATACAACTTTTAAACTTAGTGGTTGTATATAACCATTACGATGAATAGTCCCTGGCTGGCTACCCATGATCTCCAATGAAACTGCATGGGCAAATATTCTTTTGAGAATATGTATGCATTTCTTACTGAAGGCTAGAACTCAAAAGAGTTACATTAACTTTTGAAAGATAAACACTTAAGCTATTCTCAAGAGGTCAATAGCAGAAAAATCTTACAACAGTAGTGTAATCTCTCCTGATTGTAAAGCTGCATTTTAAAAAGAACACATTCCTTTATACATCAGAAACATGGTCATCTAAGTAATGGAATTACATGGAATTAAAGAAAAAAATCACAATAGATAATTGTACTATTGGCACACAATAAGAACTCTATTGGCTTTCCCTTATTTGGGTCTGTAGCTTCTGCAGATACATTGTTAAAAGATGACCCAGGGGATCTCCTGCCATTCACCCCTTCTATTATTTTTAAAATATTTGGATTTTTCTTGCTGCACATGGTGCAGAGTACATTATTAGTGATACCTAAACCTCAGAGCCTAGGGCTTGCCGATCAGAAGGTCGGTGGTTCGAATCCCCGCGACAGGGTGTTCTCCCGTTGCTCGGTCCCTGTTCCTGCCAAGCTAGCAGTTCGAAAGCATGTCAAAGTGCAAGTACATAAATAGGTACCGCTCCAGCAGGAAGGTAAACGGCGTTTCTGTGTGCTGCTCTGGTTCGCCAGAAGCGGCTTAATCATGCTGGCCACATGGCTCGGAAGCTGTACGCCGGCTCCCTCGGCCAATAAAGTGAGATGAGTGCCGCAACCCCAGAGTCGGCCATGACTGGACCTAATGGTCAGGGGTCCCTTTACCTTTAAACACCTGCCACCTTTAGTTTGTCCATAAGCACTACATATGTTTGTGGAAATTTGTGTTGTGGGCCTGTCCACTGGGTCTTTTAAATAACTTGCAATGTCCCTGATCTTCTGGCATTATTAGCCCCAAGTTATCCTTCCTCCAACATTTGCAGCCATGTCCAGCAAGAACCATATGTCTAAGAAGCAAATGCTCTTCTACACAAACAGGGAGAGAGATGCCAGTTCTGCATTTTAAGGCAAATGGTCTATAGATTTGTGGAAAGACTCACTTTCCCTTCTTCCTCAGGAGCTTTTCAGAGTCAGGGTAGTGCACCAAGATTTCATTGAGGGTCTTCTTGTCAAGAATGAAGAGGTTGGCAAATCCATGGGCCACCACATTTGCAGTCCGCCGATTTCCCCCGCTTGCAGCTAATAGGCTGAAATGACAGAGAGAACATTTATAAAAATATTTACCACCATATCATTAATAACATCAAAGCAGCTTTCCGTTTTATGTATATATCGTCAGAGACCATCAGCTAACTGTTATGGAAAGTATTTTCTTCATTGCCTGTGTAAATGCTAAAAGCATAGAAAAGTTTTCAGCAGGCATTTAAATGTTGAAACAGAAGGTACCTGCTGAGTATTGACAGAACATTCCACCAGACTGTGCTGCTCACACAAAAGACTCTGTTTCGTGCTTCTGTCAAATGAGCCTTGCCTCGCTTACTCCTGGCGATGATCTTGGTGATTGAGCTAGGATAGGAAGGATTTTGGTCGTCCCTAAGGTACCCTTGGGACGTCGGGTGGCGCTATGGGTCAAACCACAGAGCCTAGTACTTGCCGATCAGAAGGTCGGCGGTTCGAATCCCCGTGACGGGGTGAGCTCCCGTTGCTCGGCCCCTGCTCCTGCCAACCTAGCAGTTCGAGAGCACGTCAAGGTGCAAGTAGATAAATAGGTACCGCTCCAGCGGGAAGGTAAACGGTGTTTCCGTGCGCTGCTCTGGTTCGCCAGAAGCGGCTTAGTCATACTGGCCACATGACCCAGAAGCTGTACGCCGGCTCCCTTGGCCAATAAAGCAAGATGAGTGCCGCAACCCCAAAGTCGGTCACAACTGGACCTAATGGTCAGGGGTCCCTTTACCTTTACCTTTATGGAACAGCAAAGGCAAAAATGTTCCTCTTCAACCAGGCCTTGCAAATGTGCTTGGAGGAGGGGAGTTTATTCGTTTGTGGTGTTTTCTTTTGTTTTTTATTATTTCATTTTTATCTTTTTTTAATATGTGGTGAACCACCCTGAGATCTACAGATGAAGGGTGATATACAAATTTAATAAACAAACATTACCTGATCTCTCCAAATACAGCTCCTGCTCTCAAGGTGACCAGGACCTTGGTGCCATCAGGACCTCCCAGCACTTGAACCTCTCCTTGTTTGATGATGTACATTTCTCTACCAATTTCTCCCTAGGTATAAACACGCAGAAGAAAATATTCTCAGTCCATGATAGCTCAGTGGTGATAATGACACGCAATTGCAGAAAGAATATTCTTTAAAGAGTCATGACTTATTTCTGCAGCTGGTGAACTTGCCACAAACTGAATCTCCGCTTTGTAACACTGGCATGATGAAGCAGCTTCTTAAACTGTGCAGTGAAATCACTATGCCCTATTTTGAAAGGTTTTCCCATTGTAGATACAGTAATGATGAATAATTCGGTATCTCCTCCTTACTCCAAGGAGGTCAGGGTGGCCAAGATGGGGGTTGCTGCATTTTATCCTCCCAGTGACTTTGCCAGGATGAGTTAGGCTGAGAGAGAGAGGTACTATTCTAGGTAGGCTTGCACTCCTCATGAAGGAACAACTTCACTGTTTGGGCTCCTATGTGTCACCAGAATCTCATGTAGCTTTGGTGGCTAGGCGTGCTTATGCCCAGCTTAGGCTTATTCGCCAGCTATGGGTATTTCTGGACCAGGGTAGCCTGGCCTCGGTTGCCCATGCTCTGGTGGTCTCCTACAATGGGGTGAAATGACCTAGAAGACGGCTTGGAGGTTACAGCTAGTGTAGAAGGCAGCTGCTAGGCTGGTAAGTGGGGCAACCCAATGAGACTGGGAGTCCTGAAAGCACTGCACTGGCTGCCAATTAAGGTTTGTACTATCATACAAAGCCCTAAGTGCCTAAAAGAATGAATTCTCCAGTATCAGCCACTTCAGACCCTGTGATTGGCCGGTGGCGTCATGGTGCTGCCACAGGGGGCTGCCTGGTTGACTGACCTGTGACAGGGCCTTCTCAGTGGTGTCTCCTCTTTGTGGAAGGCCCTCCCTAGTGACACATGTTTGTTTCCCTCATGACTGACATATCGTCTGGACATGGAACTGAGAGGGGGAAGTTTCTCCTCATCCTTTGACTCAGGTAGCAAAATGCCTTGGGTCGGTCCATGGATATGGAATGATTTTAACCTTCACAGAGTTGAAAAAAACTATCCATAGATGTGACTCTAGTTAAAAGTATCTCTATCTCACCTTGCCTCTCCCATTCTCCAAGACAAGCATAGCAACAGCAGCCCAAACAAATGAAACACTGCACATTCCAAAGCAAATCAGCATTTTAATTATTTTTCCTAATGATCATTTGCATAATTTCAAAGAGGAAATCAAGAATAATCAACCAACCAAAGCATCTGCTGTTTCTTGCATATTTACCAGCTCATTTGTGAGCTGATTAGCATCCAAATGAAGCCAATTATACCTGGACAAACAGGACTGAAATGTCTGCGCTTATGATATATGTACTCCAATCAATGTAATCTAGTATACTATAAAAGAAAAGGTAGCATAAAACTGGGGTGTATCCATCATTTATATAGTCAGTGCGGTCCAGGGTTTCGAGCATTATTTTTGTAAATAATAGATCTGGATTTGAACAAAACCTCAGCCATACATAGGTAAAGATTTAAATCGCTTGTCAACTTCAGGGCCAAAGTAGATGTGACATTAAATGCATGTAAGAATTTAACATGCTTGATTTATTTCCTTTAAATAGTAGCTACGGTATGTGTGTGTGAGAGAGAGATCAGGGAGGCAATCAAGACTGAGAATGCAGTATGGGGGGGGCTTTAACCCTTTCCCACCATGCTGTGATCTTGAAAAAAAGTTATTCTCGCAAAAGTTACTATTTGCTCCAGGATGGAAGCTCCTGTAGGTACCAATGGATGCTTCATTTAAATGCCAGACAACATCTTCCAGATGTGGCAGGGGAGTGGAATTTTCATCAGCACCTTCGTGCAGGAGGAAAAGGCTAAGCTGAAGTCTTAGGCTTATGCTGAAGTCCTAATCCTGATTTCTGGGTTCTCCCCAAAAGACACAGCATTAGTTTGGCCCACACTTAGAAAACTGCTGTACTTTATCGTCTAGTCATTACAGCAAACATGGCTATATCGAGACTGATCATTATTGGCAAAGCGCAGAACATTTAAATGTATGTGTCTCATATCCTTTTTTCAGATGGCAAATCACAGAATTTTACAGTTCAGTCTCAGGCATCTCTCTTTACACTTATATCTAGTTTTGTGTCTGCAACATTTCAGTTAAATAATGAAGTCTAATAATGTATGCCAATAGATAACTCATATTTAAATTCCAGTTGCTCTTATTCTATTTTAAAAAAGAAAGAAACCCGCACACACATATATATATAAGTAATAAAATCCATATTGTCTGGGCCAAGTTTGAAATTTGAGAGTACATTATTATTATTGCAAATTGCACTCTAATTGGTTTTCATGCAATGTAATTTGCCCAAGATTAATTTTGTTCAAATTTTATTCTTGACCCATAGCTGAACTCCCTTTTTCTAATGCTCTCATTATTCTTGCATTTGTAATATAAATTGTCAAGATCACCTTTTTGCAGACAAAGTCACCAGGTAAATACACAATGGATTTCAGTCTCAGCAGCATGTCACAGATCATTTGGTTATCACATCCCTGTTAAAAAAAGGGGGGGGGGCGAGAATAAGAATTATATTGTATGTGAAATGCATACAGGTAATGTTACACAGAACTGGCAGAAGGTCAAAATACAAAAGAAGAAAAAGAAGATTAAATCTAATCTTTATTTGTGGATCATAGAAGTTCATTCTAAGATTAGCTAGGTTGCAGGGAGCATGCATATGTTCACCCATTTAATGGTTTAGTTGCAACAAAGAATTCTTGTGCAATTAAAAGTTTGGGGATTGTGGCCCCAAGGTTTGTTACACCAACCATTCATGACTCCATGTGATAAATGTTTTTTAATTATTGTTCTTTTCCTACATTTTTAGTGATTCTTGTTTTTATCTGTAAGCTGCCTTGAATCCCATCAGGGGGAAAGACAGGGTATAAATAAAAATACAATAATGCAATGCAATACAGTACAATACAATACAATGACACTCGCTCCAGCCATTTAGAATCTGGTTTAGAATCTGAAGCCACCCTTGTGAATCTGTAAGTGACTGTAAGTGCAACCCCATTAATCACACAGCAACAACAGTCTGCTGTGCCACTGTTGGGAACACTGTTGGGATGGCTAGGATGCAGTAATGACCCAGAATTCTTGCTGTCAATTGGAAGCATTGGGTAATTGTCTCCTTTAAGCCAGCAACTTGTATAAGCATCCTTCATGGCTTTGTCAAAGCTTATGAACCTGTGTGGCTCCTGGTGCTGGTTCAGTCCCACTGTGAGCCACTAGTAACTACATTTCTTTCCCATGTGCTTCTGCCTTCACAGGGCCACCATGTTGAAGATTCATTCCCTGTGCTTGCAGTCATGGGATTGTTGTCTATCACATGACAGTGTATAATTTCATTCCACAGAGTGGGAAGTGACGGAGACAGGATGTTTGTGTTACTGTGTTCCATGAAGTCCTTTGTTCTTTCTCTTTGCTGTCTGATGAGAAAGAGTCAGAATGCTCCGAGTGTTTTATATGTAAATAAACATAGATTAGCCAAATGCTGAGCTACTGAGCTCTGTTACCAAACTGCACAGACTCTGCGGATCCCTGAGTGTGCCGATGTCTGTTGGCATCGGTCTCTGTGATGTTTGGGCAGAAGAAAGCTTTTGAAGCTCCCGAATGAACGACCAGGCGGGAGAGAACATGCCAGTCGGGCATGTGTCTCTGCCAGGGTCCTACTCAAGAGTAGGACGGCTCCTGACACACCGTACTTGGTCCTAGTTGGGGATCATCGGCATTAAAGCAAGTGTGTAGCTTTGCTTTTATCTGTTGTACTTAAATTCAAAATTGCTTACTGGAATAGTTTTGCTTGTTTGTTTGGCAATCAGGATTACTGCAAGCAAGCAAACATCTTTCCAATCCTGGATGTTAGATTACATGAAAAAGCCACTTACTTTGAACAAGTCGACTTTACTGACAATGGCAAAGTTCACATCGATTGCAATGGCTAGCTGCATCTTCCCTGGCATCTGCTCCAGTAATTCAGATTCATCTGCAAGGCAGGATTACAGAACAGGTGAGGGGGAGAAACTTTTTTAAAAAAAACAAAAATTGTGCTACATTGGATCTCTACCGACCAAAAACAACTACAAAAGTAAAATGATAAGAAGGGAAGGGCCTGTCAGGAATACTTGATAAAAGCTTGCAAAAGTATTATCCAAATTTAGGCAGCCTTTCTGATCAGTTTCAATTTAGGATATGGATTTATTAAAAGAATATATTTTTTATAAAGCACAAAATTATTTGATGAAATCAAGTGCAGTAGTTAATAACCACTGCTGATTCCCAGTCCATTGTCAAAGAAACTAAATTATATTGATATTCCCAGGGAAAGTGGGGAGGGTGGGGTGTAAGTGTATTTTGAATTATTCTGAATTTTACCCAGCATTCCTTGCGAATCCCACGTATACTCATACCAAGTTCGAACACGATTCTGAACAATTCTTGGGATTGTGTTGACGTTCATGTAAGATACAGTGTTATCCATACAGGCACGGTAGTAGTTCTGCCCTGCTGTCGCTGCGCCAATGACATCTCGCATCTGCAAATATCAACCAGTATCGTTAGAAGGCTATTATAACAGTTTGTTGACGTTTTAGTCACTTTTAGATGACATCTCCTGCATTTATATTGTTTTGCTTTTATTTGTTGGCTGAGGTTGGCTGTTAATGTTATTGACCTTTCAATATGTCATGAGCTGCTTTGTTGATGTGATAGTGGTAAGGAAGGAGGCACAATTTTATATACTTATACTATGCAGTTGTTCATCGCTTTTCTTACCCAAAAAGCCCAGTTTTGTAAAGAAGTGTTTGATTTGTTGCCCAGGACCACTATTTAGTCATTATTAAAAAAATTTTGCAGTCTTCCTCTGTGGTGGATTCTGAGTGTGCGCTCCGTTGTGAAAAGGGCATATGCCAACATCTAAACTAAATATTTTTATGAGAAAAAGTATAACAGACTAGAAGCACCCTGATGTCAAGGACTGGCTGGATGAGGAAGAGTGGTGGGCGCCGCCAGCCCCAGAACCCCTCAGGGACAACACAGAGGAAGAAGACTTAGACCCAGAACAGTGGTGGTGGGACACAGGGGTTCAGTCTGCGGAAGGGACGAGCTGGGAGGTGCTAGAAGTGGGAGGTTTGAGTGAACATGGGGGGACAGAAGAAGGAAGCCATTCCAGGACAGGACCGGGTGCCAAGAATCTCAGTGTGAGCGCAGACTCTGACAGAGAAGAGGCAGAAGCTGCTTCTACTACTCAGCATCCGGATAGTCCTGTTCCTACTGGCTCTCCTCCTCCACTGACACCCACAACATGAAGAGTCCTGCACACTGCTGAACAACAGGCCAGACAGGCCCAGAGAGGAAACTCTCCCTGTTGCTGCGGTCTACAGATGTTTGGGAGGAGTCAAGACTAAGGGGACAAGAGAGGGAAGGAGGGGCCAGACACCACTTTCCAGCAATGTCTTCAACTAGGGGATACTAGCCCAGATGTGTTTTCACTTTTGTGAATAAAAGCTAACTGCATTTCATGTCTCATGTCCTTTTCCTGACCAGTGGATGACCTGAATTCTCCTGTCAGCCCCTGGACACCTAAGAATCATTGACTTTATTCTGGAATGATACTACTATAAAGAAGCACAGGAGGATTGGGCTGAAATTGTATTTGCCTGATTACACAAGACCAGTTAGTAATCTCTCCAAATAAACAAGAGCCTCCAGAATCATACCTGTGTGTTTGCAGTCCGTCGTGAAACATAAGACTAGCTGCCAAGCACAGAGTGAAATTGGCAGTGATATTAACAGAGTCTAAAACTGTAAGCCCATTTCCACTTACCTGAATTCTATGGGATTTACTTCAGAGTAGACATATATAGGATTACATTGCAAACGGAGTTCGTGCACTGTTCGAAATGCTGACAAGCTGTTTCCTGACTCCCAATAGCAATCAACTCAGCAACTAAGCTAATTTGTAGAAAGATCCATTTAATAAACAACAAATTAGCCTTTGTAGAGGAAAAACCAGGCCTGACTGGTTTTTTTTATTACTCCAGGATAATATTTACTTCCCTTTTTCCCAATAAAGAGACTGGGAGCTGGGTGGGAGTGATTTTCTAAAATGTTGATTTTAAAATAACATGATTCAAAAAGGCCAAGACAGTTTTGGCCCCCAACAAGATAATAAGCAGTAAAGGTGAGGACAATGAGGAAATCAAGAGTTTCATAAATTTGTTATGGGTCATCTAAGTCAATAACAGCATCAAAACCATCTTCAACAATACATCTTCATTTCTTCTGGCAGCATGAAACTCATATCAGATATTACTATGAGAAGAATGGTGTCAACCCTTTGTAAATGTTTTGGTCACATTACAGAGCATCAGTGTTTTCTGGAGGTTAAACAGGATTGTCTCTCTGGTATACCTATATGGAAGACCACCATAGAATGTGTGTTGGATGGTGAATGAATAAATCTTTATTTGTGTCAGCCATCGGTCATAGCAATAAAGCAACAATATGATATACAAAAAATAAAAATAAAAAGTCAATTGTATAAAATACATTTTAGGTTTTGAATCAAGTCAAAAAGTGGATCTTATTCTAATTGCCCAGCTAAAAGCCTTGCAACCTTTGCTGTCTCCTGTTCATCTTGATCTGCCAAGAGAAAGGACACTGTGGCAGTGGCTGGGAAACCCGGAATGGACAATAAAAGAGGGGTGATAACCTGATTTCTCAAGTCTTTATAAAGAGTGCAAGCCAAAAGGGCATGTTGGATGGTGTGTTCTGAGATGATCTGGGAGCTTCCGGTGTACATACTTTCCACCTTTGCTTCAGCAATGTCAGAAGTTCCAGGTTATGCAGAGGAGCCAGTGATGCAATATCTTCCCATGCCAGGGAGTGTGTACATGGTTCTCTTCCTTCACATTTCATCCTCACAACAACAGTGAGGTAGGTTTGACTAACAGACCATGACTAGCCCAAGGCCAGTCAGTGAGTTTCATGACTGAGCCAGGTCCTAGTCCAACACATATGCCAGTGCGCCATACCAGCTGTTGGGTACAAGGGCTGGGAGGGACCTCTGCTTGAGGCCATGGAGAGCAATTTCTAGTGGGCATCAGTCCTGGGCTAGATTGATCAATGGTCCCATATGACTCTATATATGGGAGCCTCATAACAATTCCCAAGGAGCCCTGGGTGATTCCCTCAGAAAAACAAGGGCATATAAATACTGCTTCCATGAGTATCTTATTTTATTATATTTGAACATCAACATTCAGAGCAGACTGTAGAATTTTGCCATTTATGGTTCTAGAAGTTTATCTTTTAAACAGACCTCACTGAGGGGGAGATCTATACAGGTGAATATCTAGACAGCTTTGTACCTGTCTCTCTCTAGTAAAAACTCATATTTTGACGTGAAGACTAAATGTTAAATACACAGATTGTTGGAAACCTCTTAAACTCAAGGGTCAGTTTAACCATTAATGCCTTTGCTTACCTGACCAATCAAGCTGGAAAATACGAAGACCCCTGAGAAGAAGTTCAGAAGTTGAAAGATGATTTCAAACATGGTTACTGGTTCTGGAAGCCCACCGATAGTGATTAAAGTGCGAACTGCCCAGTAGTAACATCTTAGATACCTGTAGATAGAATACAATTTTTGATATCATTATTCTTCTACATAGGTTTCTAATGCAGAAATACTATTCTGTATTATTCTGAATTTCAGAATCAGGAAAAATGTCCTCCCTCCACCTCCTCACTGCAACTAGTCCTGATAATGAACTAAAAAAAAGTATTACTTTATGGTTTTATGTAGAACAAGGATGGGAATCCTGTGGTCTTCCAGATGGCCTTGGTCCAGTATGCCTGAAGGAATGTCTCCACGCACATTGTTCAGCCCGGACACTGAGGTCCAGAGGCAAGGGACTTCTGGTGGTTCCCTCATTGCAAGAAGCGAAGTTACAGGGAACCAGGCAGAGTGCCTACTCAGTAGTGGCACCCGCTCTGTGGAACGCCCTCCCATCAGATATCAAGGAAATCTGACTTTTAGAAGACAGCTGAAGGCAGCCCTGTTTATGGAAGCTTTTAATGTTTGACGGACTATTGTATTTTAATATTTTGTTGGAAGCTGCCCAGGGTGGCTGGGGAAACCCAGCCAGATGGGCAGGGTATAAATAATAAATCATCATCATCATCATCATCATCATCATCATCATCATCATCATCATCATCATCATGTTGCTGAATCCCAACTCCTATTCATTGCAGCTAGCATGGACAATGATAAGGAATGATGGGAGTTGTAGTTCAACAACTTCTAGAGGGCCACAGGTTTCCCACAAGGGGTGTGTGTGTGTGTGTGTGTGTGTGTGCCACTAAACATGTCATTATTAAGTACAGGTGGTGTCTGTAGAGACACAGTCTTCATAGTTGTGTTGGCTTCATTTAAGTCAGGGGTCAGCAAACTTTTTCAACGGGGGGGGGGGGCAACGGGCCCTCAGACCTTGTGGAGGGCTGGACTATATTTTGGAAGAAAAATATATGAATGAATTCCTATGCCCCACAAATAACTCAGAGATGCATTTTATATAAAAGCACACATTCTACTCATGTAAAAACATGCTGATTCCCAGACCATCCGCAAGCCAGGTTTAGAAGGCGATTGGGCCGGATCCGGCCCCTGAGCCTTAGTTTGCCTACCCATGATTTAAGTTGTAGAGATTTTTTGAAATGGGGGCAAACAGTGAGTCATGTAAAATCAGTGCTTCTTGTTTTTACCCCCCCCCCCAATTGTAGTGTCTTTTGAAATCAGGCCATGCAGCACACCTGCAAGGTTATTTCTGTACAAGCCGAGTGAGCACATTGCTTGTCATTTCATGACTCTATAATAATGGAAAGTACGTTGGACCCTCTGGCAGTCATATCTTCAGATTTCCTCACTTGAAATGTGTCAGACATATAAAGCTGTTCCTGAACACATCAGGGGAGATTATTGATCACTCTATTGAATTCCAAAGGAAATAATTCTCCTTCTAAAAAGTTCATTCTCGAGACAGCAGCAGATTGGCTACGTGGCTCTCATTTTAACAGTCAGAAAATGTGTGGTGTTTGGTCTGTCTGCTCAGTGACACTTCAATCTGGCAACACCAGGTGTTTCAATGCATTGTTGCTAGGGTGACAACCACAAGGCTGTCGTCTACTAGTAGGGATGGGAGAAAATTTTTATTCAGTTCACATTTAAATGCAAACCTACCTACTTCACACATTCCAAAACAATACAAGAACCAAAGCACAGTGATCTGTCAAAAGCTACACTTTTTTCAGTGCATTTACTCCAAAAAGGTAATGTATACAAAAATGCATATACTAGGGTAAAATGTACATACAGATGCATATATTAGTGAAAATAACATTTGAAAATGCATTTTGTTACGGGAAATTTTGCAAAAATGACAATAGTAGGAAAATTACACGTAAAAATGTCTGTATGAGGAGACATTGGTGCTAAAACGCTGATAAATTTTCATGCGTACATTGTTTTTGCTTTGTTTTTAAATCACAAACTAATGTGGAAATATGGAGAACTGATATGCAGAGAACTGCAGCAATGAGAAACTGATATAAACCAAAACTGACGGAGTCACCTGTCCCTATACTAGGCTCCTAGACAGGCTGCTTCAGGTCAAGCAAACCCCCCAGTATAATCAACCAATCTTTGTTATTATAACCCCACTAAGTTACAGTCAGACAAATACGATTTGAAATTTGCAATTTACAGGCCAGTAGAGACTACTGATAGCACACCAAAGGGCTAGGATATATGTGTGAGTTCTTGCACATTTATACTTAGAATGGATTGCTGAGTGCTAGTATGGTTGGTAAGGATATTTAATCAGCCAGTCCCTAGCAATAACACACTGATGTAATTTTCCAGTATAAACAACAAAGCATTTCAACCCTTGGTGGAAGACTTGGCAAGTTGTAACCCAGGGACAGACACTATACCTTTAAAGCTCAATTGTGTGGAATATTCAAGAGCCATGGATTCTCCTATTTGTCTCCCTGGTCCCTTTGGCCACCCACTCCTTGCTTGCTGTGCAAGACACTTGAACAACGTATCAGGTGATCTACCTTTTATAGCAAGTGGCAGGCAAGAGGATCAATGAGGAACCCAATAGCTGCAAATAGTGAGCCTCCTGTTTCATTGGGAAATTTAAATGAGTGATACAGCCCCTCCATGGTTAGCATCCCATGCTTACAGGAGTGATGACTTTCAGTTAATCTAACACAAAGCATAATATAGAACTAGATATGTCTGAGGGACAAAGGTGTTCTGTATCAGATTATTTTAACGCTCAGGTACTTTGAACACAATAGAGTCCTGTGTCCTGCCCCATCCTCCTCCTGCTCTGGCTCCTGCCTTGTAGGTGGCACCAAACCCCATAAATCACTGACCCCTACTGCTGGGTCACTCTCCTCGCCCCTGCCTCCACCACAAACTCTAAAGAGCCCCGCCAGTCCCTAACATGCCAGAGACTGAGTTTAGCCCCATGTTTTAAATCTAGGTACCCAGCTGATTCTTTTGCCATTTACCCCCCACACCTGGATCACCCGGATTCATATTTTCCTCCTACATTAACTGCTTTGCCATCATGTCTGCAAAAGCTGCACTCACTACATTTCTGCATGCATTGCATGTCTTATAATATATACTGCCTGCTGTTGCCTCCCCATATTTTTCTTTTGTTGAATTAATAGCTATTGACTTGGCACCTCTTCCCCAGCTGCACTGCGCAGTGTCAGCTCCCACTGGAGAGTTTCTCTCTTTGCAACATGTTTACATGTATCCTTTGCCATATGAAAGGAAATGACAGAACATGACCCTGTGAAGACTCTTAAGGGAGCGAAATGTTCCGTTGCAATCGGAAGGTTGCATAGTAATTGTACTCCATTGAACTTTCCACGTAGCTGTTTTCTTACGTATGTAATGCTTCTTCTCCTCACACCTAATCGGTAAGTTTAATTTACGACCCTTGTGCTTTCTAAATGTTTAATTAAGTTAGTGATTAGAGCTGACTCATAAACCTGTAAAAACCCCAAACGGTAAACTAATCACTCACTACACCTGCCTTCCATATAATTAGCATTGTTCATTACTTCCAATCAGCAGCAATGCTGCTAAAAAGTTAGCAGTGTGAGCAAGTTCTGAAGGTTTTGCTTGCAAGCAAGATAGGAAGGTGGGCAGGCTAGGGAAACGCCATGCAATGCAAAGGAACTTACATGTTTCCTTTGCCATCGTATACCCATTTAGTGCTGCCGAGTCCTTCGTAGGTTGAAGCCCAGTAATACAGGCATGCATTAAGATGCAAGATAAACAACAGGTACCCAGTAGTTCGAACGACCCTGTAAAAAACATAAACAACACTTGATGTCATTCCTGTGGGACACACATTCCTGTGCCTGTTTTCCCTTTGGAGACCTGGGTTTTGATCAATAGCAATACTAACACCTGCTGTGACTTACAACTATGGCCAGTATTGACAGAGTGGAAAAATCAGCTGGTGCTCAACTCTCTTCCCTTCTGCAATTGCCAAATGAATCACTGCCATTAATAACAGGTACAGGGGCACTGGTAAAGTATGCTTCCCATAGGACCCTGCGGCTTACTAATTCAATAAGCTAGAAATGTTTATAGAAAGGTACAACTGTGTTCATGAAAGAGTGTTTGCTAGTTGTTGCTCACAAATGCAGGCACCATTGCATCACACCAGGAACCTGTGCCTTGGACATTAACCTTTTCTGTTCATTTAGATCCTAGCCTTCCTCTAAGGCTCCAAGCAGTTAACAACACAGGCCTGCCCCCAGCACCCTCACAGGACCCTGGCGAGTTATATGCCTGTGGAATACCCCCATTTTATGTCCCCATTTTACAGACGGTATCTGAGGCTGTAAACAAAAGCTGTGCCATCCAATGGCAGAGTCTGGAAATGCTGAAATATGTCAACACTCTACAAATATGCCAACACTGATACTGGAGCATATCTAGCACATACCTGTAAATGTATGCTTTTTCCATGATCGCCTCCAGTCGGTCATTGAATTCAAAGAACGTGAGATGCTGAATGCAAATCAAGAGAGGAAACAACTGTATATGGTAACAATATAATCTCACATGGATTTTGCGACATACAACTGCCTGTTTCTGGCAATCTTAAAATTTTGGTTTAAAAATTATCATACTGCTAAACTAGCAAAAACCAGAAACAACTTGACATTTCAAATATCACTTTTTCCAGGAGCTTGGCTATGGAGGATACTTTTCCATTTAGCAGATCAGTGGTCTTGATGAATTATGATGACAGTGATATTTTACCTAGTCAACCGAAGTTTCTTGCTCATAGATAGAGTACATTCTTTTGGTGCTCCCCATTTATTATTTCCTTTCTTCTATATGGCTGGCTTTTTGAAAGAGAGGTGGCAGTCTGGATAATTACCTTTCTAGATTTTACAAATGAAGCAGGCTTGTTTAGATCATTAATTTGAAATTAATTTAGATAAACTGACACAGGAGCCAGAAAAAAAGAGAAGGATGTGTTTCTAGAAATGGTACCCATTAGAAGGAAACAGTAATTGCCCTTCATCCAAGTTTTTCACATGCTCAAAGGTTGGGCTTTTTAAAAACAGCATTTTGTAACAATTTAGTGACTCTACATTTTACAGATGTACAGGGCAATCTTATGCATGCTTGCTCAGAAGTAAGTCCTACTCTTCTCAGTGTGATTTACTCCCACACAAGGATTGCATCTTCAGTGTGTGAACTACTAACTCCATCCAGTTATGCTCAGACTAGGGCAGAGGAAACCCAGGTTCAAAGCCCATTAGCTGTGAAGCTCAGTGGGTGACCTTGAGCTGCTCACTATCTCCCAGCCTAATCAATGGTGCTGGGTTGCTGCAAGGAGAAAATATCTGGTGGTGGTGGTGAGATGGGACATATATGCTACTGCCTTGAGCTCCTTGGAAGAAAGGCAGGACACAAATGTGATTAATTCATGGAGTAACTGGATGGAGGAGTCTACAAATACACCTGGAATTGTATGAAGTACTATGTGTGCAAATAGATGCTGCAAGCCCACAGTTCCTGTAAGCTCTGCCTTCCGCAACCTGGTACCTTCCAGATATTTGGGATTACAACTCCCATCATTCCTGACCATTAGTCACCTTGGGTCAGAGCTGATGGGAGTTGTAGTCCAAAATATCAGGGGAACACAAGGGTTGGGGATGGCTGCTTTGGCTAAAAACTGAAATCAGGTGTGACTGTGTATATGTTGCCTTCATCAGATAACGACGGTGATGGCTTTCTATGTTGCTCTTCGATATAAATATTTTCAGGGTGTCTCATACTATAAAAGCAATAGAAAATAGTAAAATAACAGTACACAGACTAACCATCAAGATTCTAAACAATATCAGGGAGAGTTGTGTTCCCCGTCTTTATTTCCCAAGCAAGAGACTGGCACCATTATCAACAATCTGAAGGAGGGATGGATCCACCATTAGCCTCATATAAACCAACAGTACAAGGATCCATTTTGTAGTGTTTATAGCTGGATTGAGTAGGTGGGCATCCACATCAGTCCTTCACACGAATCTTTCTTGCTATGTTAAATGAAAATGTCTTAAATTACTCATTTGGTGGTAAATTAATATGGAAAGGCAAGTTCTGTTATCAGTGTTTGTTCATTTAATGCCTTTTGGGAACCTGGCTGACATATGGAACCACATGTTTTTCAGCTCAAAAACCACTTATTTAGAATTGGAATGACCCAATAAACTTCAAAACAACCAATTTGTGTTGTGCAGCTGGAAGAAGTTTGATACCATCCTGTGCCGTGTATATTCGGAAATCTCCCCTGACCACTGTGGATGAGCAACAGTATGTATTTACCAGTAGGATTTCTGTCCCTGGACTGAGGGTAACAGTAGATAATCTCATCTTACCTTCACCACCTTGTTTGCTCTAAATATTGCATTAAATCCAAACACAACGTACAAGACGTCAAACGGTATTACAGAAAACACATCAAGCTGTTGAAGAAAAAAGTTCAGTTACAATATTAAATTAATTCTCATGTAGTTAAAAACTGTAATGGAATGCTCAGGTCCTATCTTTCTAGTACATGGAACACATTTTCTGTGTGCAGAAAATTGTTGTTACCTTCTTCTTTTCTCTGAACCACTTTGAGCACTCCAGAAAATGCATGCAGTATATAGATAAACTGAGCCCAGATGATGGTATTGTAAGGCTGGATTTACCCAATGGATCCCTAGTTTCTGACTGGATTCATCATCTAGGTTATTGGTAAGAGATTGAACAAGGTGCTAAAATGAAATGTCCATCTTTGGGAGATTTCAAGAAAAGCTCAGAACTGCATATGTAGTCAAAAGCCGAATAAGTGGTATTAAAATATTGACAAAGATCAAGCAAAATGTTTTCTGTGAAGTCAGTATATCCCATTTCAGGGCAAGTGTAGCAGGCCATATTGTGTTCTGGTCCACCTCACATTTCTTTGGTCCTTAGCAGACAAATTTTTCCTTGAAATATTGTGAGTTTCAAATATCTATTCCAGATTTCAAGATGAGCATGGCTCATCTGAGCTAAGAAAGGATTCCTTCTCAACACCAAATCTCTCGAGGCTTCTTTCCACATTATAGTTTTCATTCACAAGAGCAGTCCCTTGTAATGAATGCAGTAACATAGGAAGGACTTCAAGTGCTGCTCAAATACGATACATCGCCAACAGGTCCATCAGAAAGTAGTCAAACAATTAAGCAAATATGCCTTTCCAAGGGTGGCTGCAATAGGAGAATCAGGAGCTGAATCTTTGATGCTCCATCAAAGGCAAACCTCTTATTTCTTTCATGCAAGGGTGAGGGGCCTCGGACTACAGTTCCCACCAGTCTTGGCTATTGGTCATGATCATTGGGGCTGGTGGGTGTTTCAGTTCAACAATGTCTGAAGGGCCAAAGGTTCACCACCCTTTGGGATAGGACCATAGGTTGCGATGGAATCCATTATCTAATGGGATGGGACTGTAAGTTTTTGATCAGGTATCAATTTCAATTTCAGTTCCAGCATCTGAAATGTACATCACTACTGATTTTCTGCCTGATTTCCACCTTGAAGACTACCTTGGTGGGGAGAGGGAAGCTGTAGGACAGTCATGTCCAAGTGGATATATAGTTTGAACAACTGTTTTGTTCCCTTAGCAAGCGTGCCTTATTTACTTACCCGAAATTTTAACGTGCTCCGGTAGTATTTCTTCATTTCTACTTTATCTGACTATAATTAGAAACAGGAAAAACATGCAGTTAGGTAAAGCTCAGTACAAAAACAAAGAACTGTTTCAGGATAGCATATGACTAAATTAGACATGATTAGCTGAAGTCCATTAGCACTTGTGGACTGAGGTTTCAAAGCACAAAACTTTGTTTTAGGCAAGTTTTCATGCATACATCCAAATCCTTATCCAGCTAATGTGAGTTGTAACTAAGCTTTACTGAAAGCAATGAGACTTCAGTTAGGCACAGCCAACTCATTCAATTGATTTTGGATTTAGTTACAGCTAACTTTTAAAATTTAATGTATAGCCGCTGGAACTCAAGGCAGCATATATCGGAGGCTCAAGCAATCTCTGACACAATCTTGTTTTGCTGAGCTTGAGCAAGGGGTCATACGCACTGACACCAAACCCTGGGATATTAAGTTGGATTGGGATTTGTATGTTTGTAGGGCGATAACCTCTTTCCAAGGCACAGTTTTCTTTTTAGCAACTTTATTTGGGAATGAGCAAATGGCTTAGAAAATCTGGAAATCTAAGCAAACATGTAGATTAACACTTGGTTATTTCTTTCAAATAAACAGTATGCATTAGGAAACAAGACTGAGAAGAAGCCTGTGCAGTTAGGTGGACACCCTTTGTGGAATATTTAGGGGTGATTAAAATTTCATGATTCTGCATGGGGAAAATCTCCAGCCTCTCTTTAAATATCATATTGGAGGGAGATATTGTTAGAATAAAAATCTCAGAACATTTGGATTATGGGTTTGGGTTCATAGGCTGTAAAATACACATACACAAAGCTGGATGAATGTGCTCTCATTAGCATTAGAACTGTCAACAGTGCATATATTAAGAAAGATTAGATGTTTATTTTTAAATTACTGTCTGTGGGTAGGTGGACCTTGTTTGCACTTAGGAAATTGCCCTACATTGTGTCACACTATTGGACTATCTAACCCACTATGGTCTACATTGATTGGCAGCAGCACTCCTGGGTTTCAGACAGGCTTTCTTCCCAACCCTACCTTGAGATTATTATTTATTATTTATTGACTTTATATACCGCCCTAGGTCTCAGTGTGTTTCACATAAAATTAAAATAAAAACAATTACCCAATAATGCCCCCCCAAAAGAGCCACATTTAAATAGGGTATGGGATGTTGATCAGAACTATACACCTGAATATTCTTCTGTACTTCATGTGAAGGACGTTTCTTTATCCTTATTAGTGATGACAAAAACTTTGTGCTGGCCATGATTTTCCCCGTACCTGCCTTGCTCCACCTTCCATTCCTACAGGCATTATGTTTATGTGCTGTTTAAGGAACTGAATAGAGTGGAAGGTTATGAGTCATGGGGATGGAGTGTGTGTGTGTGTGTGTGTGTGTGTGTGTGTGTGTATGAATTCTTCAGTGCTTAGTTTGTTTTTTAAATATTGGTTTATAGATTATGAATGCTGTAGTACTTTGTGAAACCTATAATATGCCTTTTGTTGAAATTGTGCTGTTTAGCTTATTTTTCTAGTTGCTTTGTTAATAGTGTTTTATCGATTGTATTTTGTTCATTGTTCATTATTATTTATGTCGTATTTGTGATGTTCTATTATGTTATTTAGGGACGCGGGTGGTGCTGTCGGTTAAACCACAGAGCCTAGGGCTTGCTGATTGGAAGGTTGGCGGTTCGAATCCCCATGACAGGGTGAGCTCCCGTTGCTTGGTCCCAGCTCCTGCCAACCTAGCAGTTCGAAAGCACGTCAAAGTGCAAGTAGATAAATAGGTACCGCTCCAGCGGGAAGGTAAATGGCATTTCCGTGCACTGCTCTGGTTCACCAGAAGCAGCTTAGTCATGCTGGCCACATGACCCGGAAGCTGTACGCTGGCTCCCTCGGCCAATAAAGCAAGATGGTCGCCGCAACTCCAGAGTCGATCACGACTGGACCTAATGGTCAGGGGTCCCTTTACCTTTACCTATTATGTTATTTATTGTTTGCAAGCTGCTTGGCGATTCAGTTGAATGAAAAGTGGCACAGAAATGTAATAAATCAAATCAAAGGAAAAAATGTCCTCGGCATACAAAATGGATAAAAGTTAATCCCTTTATTTTCCTTAATTCTTATCATACATACCTTTATGGTAACTAGATATCTCCCTATTCAGCCAGCTGAACTACTTTTCCATAGTAAAAACTGGAAAAGAATGATGCATCAAGAAAGCAGGAAAATTTGCATTTTTAAAAGTAGCTCTTAAACTCTGTATCATATAGATTTTAAAATCACCTGCTGCAACATATATATCTTTTTTATGTAAAAAAATGCACACTATTAAAGACTCATGTGTTCTACTGCACAGATGGGGAACTCATGGACCTCCAGACATTGTTGCTAACTCACCTGTCATATCTAGTATGACATATGGCCAGGTATTATAGGAATAGTCACATTAATTTAGACTAGAGAGTCCCATGCTCATGGCTGACTGGGGACTTGAACATAGGTCCCTCTGGTCAAAATCCAACATTACCTGCTACACTACGGGGTCTACTTATTGTGTGATTCTTCTGTGTCTTACCTCCCTGCCCACCTTTACTTACTATTATATCTCCACCTCTCACGAATTGTACTCGGGGTTGAAATATCAGCAGATCACAGACATAGCAGATATCACATAAAATGTCTATCACAATCCAGTATATCATGTTGCTTGGTGTCTGAAACGGGAATACCAATCGCAGTGGGATGAACCAGCAGTTCCAGTTATAAGCAACGGTAACCAAAAACAGCCATCCTATATAGCGACGATCTAGAAAAAAACAAAACACCCTTAAAATTACTCTTCCTGTTTTTGGAAGAGGATATATGAGAATACATCGCCTTCAATATATAAATAAAATGCCCAAGGATATATCAAGTTTAATTACAACTCAAAAACCCAACCACATCTTACATGTTGGCTAAGCTGTGTACCAAACATTGACTGAGCAGGCCAGTTTCTTGTAGCCGGTCCTCAAATTAGTAGAGGGTCACAAGTTTCAGGTTAGCTAAAGGTGAGTCCAAGGCTGAAAAAATTGAGATGAACTGGGCTGGGCTTTTGGATTGTATTGGCAAGGCAGATTCTTAATTTCACCAGTGAATACAATAAGTGACTAGTGCCAACCCACCTACTTGTCTGTGTAACATAACAGTAGTACTTATGCAGGGTTACCATACATCTGGAATTTGCCGAACATGCATAGGATTGAAGTGAAATTTCCAGGCTGGGGTGAATATTGAAAAACTGGGGAAATGTCCAGGTTTTTGCCAATGGAACCAGGAAGTGTGTGTTTCAGTGTCACTCTTTGCCCATGCTTTTAGGTGATTTCCCCTCAAAAAGCTCAACAACATCCGTGAGAGGATTTTTTACTTCTTGAAATATGGCAACCCTAACATATGTCAACAGAGGCCTTTATAATTAGTATGAGCTACCAGTAATTTTATCGTATTTACAGCTGCCAGCACCTCTTTCCTGTAAGAAGGCCTTCAGCTTACCTGTGTATGCATCTATACTTTCTGGTAGCTTCATTTTCCTCAAGTATTCTTTCATGGGCGGCCTCTTGAATTTGCAGCACAGCATATCACAGTAATGCTCCTCTGGTTTTGCTTCTTCTGGTTTCTTCTCCTCTTCTTTTTTCTCCTCTTTTTTCTCCTCCTTTTTCTCTTCTTTTGGCGGAGGGGGTGGCGCCGTCTTTTTGGGTGCTAGAGAAGTTTCCAAAGAGGCAGCATTGCACACAAGTTTCTCAAATGCACAAAGATATCTGAAGCTACAGAGAGTTATACACCAGAAAACCCTCCAACATTTCTCCAATGAGAATAGGGACGTCCCATTCCATGATGATAATTTTACTGTTTATACACCACACATCTTACTAGGTTTCCCCAGTCACTTTGGGCAGCTTCCAACATATATAAAAATATAATAAGACATTAAACATTAAAAAACCCATTTCCTATAGAGTCATACCTTGTGTTGCGTCTGCTTCATGTTGCATCTTTTCGTGTTACGTCCTGCGGCAACCCGGAAGTACCGGAATGGGTTACTTCCGGGTTTCGCCACTTGCGCATGCGCAGAAATGCTAAATCACGCTTTGCACATGTGCAGAAGTGCCAAATCATACCACGCGCCTGCACAGACACAGTGCTTCGAGTTGCGGGCATTTCACGTTACGGGCGGGCCTCCGGAACAGATCCCGTCCATAACACAAGGTATCACTGTACAGAACTTCCCTTCAGATGGCTCGGGGGGGGGGAGCAGTTGGATAACTCCACACACACCAATATTTCACCAAATAGGGACATCCTAAGAAAAAGTAGGACATTCTGGGATCAAATCAGAAAGTGGAACAGCTTCTCTAAATCAGGGACATCCCTGGAAAATAGGGACACTTGGAGGGTCTGCACTCTGTGAACAACTGTCAACAAAATCCACTCTGCCTCAGGAACATGTTTGGCAGGGTGAGGAATAAAACTAATATTGTTATTAGTGTTAATATTTCCCTATACATCTCCCTACACCATGATGAAATGAGTCCTAGGTATGAAAGATGAAATGCATTTAAATGTATTTTTTTAATCATTTCCTTTCAGCAAGATGCATGATAAACATACATTGTCAGGGCTTCTTTTCAGCCAGAACTCACCAGAACTCAGTTCCGGCACCTCTCAAATGGGTGCCATTGCCATTATAAGAGAACAAGGGAAGCGTTCATGGTGAGTTCTGGCACCTCTTTTCCTAGGGGAAAAAAAATAGCGCTGCATTCTGTACAGGGTTGCCAGTTTGAATAAGACATGAGGCTAGAAAGTAGGATTCCTTCTGGAATTCATTCTTCAAATCAACGGCTTTGTGCTTGTTTATGGTAAGACCAACTCTGGATATAAAAAGTTACAAAGCTTTCAGCATCTGATTGTTAATCGGGATGTGAAGAGTATGCCAGACCTAATCACATGATTGGCTATTGTGTGCTGATTCAAAACATGTTGATGAAAATAAGCCAGCTCCCCCCGCCCCCGAACTGCCTCCCTGCCCAGGAAAAGCATCAAATGAATTGGGCATTAAACTCATCATGTGAATTGTAGGTGTCAAGGGTCCCCCTTAAGACTTTTGTCAAATGGGCAGAGGTCCAAGAGATGGAGTTGGTGGGGATGTTCATATTGGGGGTGGGGTCAGGCCAGCAAGGTGGACTCCCTCCTGCTCTATTAACTTAATAAACACAAGGTATCTTAATTTCTGCTGTAGGTGTGCCTGAATGCGAGAGATACAGAAATCCAGTGAGGCAGCATGATGCATGGCTGCTGCTTACTAGGAGGTAGAGGGGGAGGGGAAAGACAACGGGGAGATTCACACAATGCAAGCGCACCAGTAGTACCATCTAGTGCAGCTGCTGGCGCATTTGCACTGCGCTAACCTTGCTGTTGCCCCACCACACGGTCTGCTACTGGCAAAATCTAGAAAAGAAAAGTGTGTGTAAGGGTACTGTTGCAGGACCAAAAAGCTGAAATATTGATATTTCATCTCTCTGATTTCTACTTTTCTTGGCAAGCATAAGGAAATAGATAAGCTGCTGTTATCTCAATCACCCCAATGCATTTGTCCAGTTTATTGCATTCAGCTTAAGAGCGGACAGCAATCTCAATGAACTGCAGAATGTGCCTACTATACACTTCCTTCTGTCTATTGTGCATAGTAAGAAATACAGATTTCTTCTGACAGTTGTTAAATACAGTGGTTAATTGATTTCAGGTGAGATGCATATCCTGCTGTGGCTTACTGTATTACAGTCAATGTCAGTATCTCTTAAAAATAAAATTGCAAGATAATGTTTATGCCCCAAATGTTGTGTAATTTACTCACTCAGCAATCTCCAGTTTTTGATTTCTTCCTGGAGTTGCAAAAACAGAGCAAGTGTCAAGCTCTGGGTAGACTTCAAAACATGGGTTTCTGGACTTAATGTTTGGTTTCCTGGTTCACACACTGTCTAGGGCTGACCCATACAGCTTAGGAAGCATAAACCAGTGTAACGATTTGAATGACAGTGCCAGTTTATTACATTCAAGACTAATTCAAGCACATGTAGGTGTGGTACAGGGCTTAAGCAACTTTCCTTTTGCCCCATTTTGCTTTCCAATGGGGAAACACTGACAAAAATTGAGTTTTCTGCGGATTGCTGTTTGTTCCACGTTAGTGCTAAAGAGCAGGTTTTCCAGGGGAAAGTGATGGGCAAAGGAAAAACCACTCAGACCCGTGCCTTCTAGGCAAAGGACAAGTGGAAGTGTTGGTGAGGCTGCAATTTGTTTCCGTGAACTTAGAGAGATAAAATCTATATTTGCATCAGCCACAAGCCATAGCAAAGGAACCAAATACAATCAAATACAGAGATAGGTAGATGGTTGACTATACAAAATACTTTCTGAGAGTTTACAACTATACAAATGAACTTACTTGCTGTTGGACTGGGCTCAGGAGAGGAGATGACCGGGTCACTCAGTTTTTCTTTATACGTGGCTGTCCTTTCTCGCATCTGCTTGATGATTTCTTGCAGCTGAGTTTGAGCATATTCATTTATGGGGGTTCCTGGTCGCTTATTCTCTGTCCTGTTTATGTGGGAAGAGAGAGAAGGAGAACAGTGCTTTGAAAAGTAAAAACAGTTGAAGGCAAGTAATAATAAGACAGATGAACTTCACCCCAACTCAGCTTTGAGTAGTGGAACCATTGTCTTGACCCACCAGTGGTCTGGTGGGTCAGGCATGCACAACATCCACATATTGTGGCCTACCAGATGCTGGAAAATTCCAATCTTTGCAAATTTGGGACCAACATTAGATGTGATGGTGGGGGGTATCATTTGCATGTTCATCCTGTTCACATGTAAGGCACAAATTGTGTGTTAACACTCGATTAGAAGGCGCTGAGAGTGGCGATGGTGGGGGAGGCTCAGCCAGATGGGCAGGGTATAAATAAATTTTATTCTTATTCTTATTCTTATTCTTATTCTTATTCTTATTCTTATTCTTATTCTTATTCTTATTCTTTCTCTGTGTGCCTTGCTTTTACAGTGGTACCTTGGGTTACGAACTTAATACGTTCCGGAGGTCCGTTCTTAACCACTTAACCACTTTAGCTAATGGGGCCTCCTGCTGCCGTCGCACCACTGGTGCACGATTTCTGTTCTCATCCTGGGGCAAAGTTCGCAACCCGAGGTACTACTTCCGGATTAGCAGAGTTTGTAACCTGAAGTGTTTATAGCCCGAAGTGTTTGTAACCTGAGGTACCACTGTAATAATAAAAGGAGCCCCTTCTAGCTATGATCAGACAGCCCCTCTCCTAAATTTTCACAGCTTTTCTCCCTTCCTGACTCTGTAACTAAACATTCAACAAGTGTACAAGTGTCTGCATTGCTATTCTGGAAAAGCTCGCCTACCACCTGAAATCACTAAGTGGAAACACAGAACACTGAGGATTTTGCAGCTGTTTGGTGGACTCTTTATGACATATATGAACAATTGTTCCCATTTGAGCAGTGTCTCTGCCAAATATGACTTTATATGGAACTATTCATGACATCTACATATGCTTTTAATGTACACATAGCTTGCAAAGGCCAATCTGGCTTTGGGACTTCAAGCCAATCATATGGTGACCTCTTTCCACCCCTGTCCAGCTGCCCCATTTTCTCCCTCCTGCTTATTTATTCTTCTCACCCCTTCTTCATGTGTCAGTGGAAGAGCTGGTAGTGTGCCATCAATGTTTTCATGTTGAGTGCTAAATGTTCATTTTGATTAATTTTTTTTAAGCCAAACAAACAAGCACACCATCTTGCGTACCTGTGTGCACAATAAATGAACTGTATAAAACTACATGTGTAATCTATTTCACACAACTATTTCTACCTGTATAGAGGCAGCTTGTACGTGTGTACAGTGTAATGTGTGAACGAGCGTTAAGTGAGATGGAAATGGAGGCAAGTACCTGGAGTAACTCAGAGGAGGCAAGGTAAAGGGATGAATTTGAATCCATGAATGTGCAGCACAGAATTAAGATTGGTGTAATGCGGGGTGAGCTCCCATCGTTCGGTCCCAGCTCCTGCCCACCTAGCAGTTCGAAAGCACCCTTAAGTGCAAGTAGATAAATAGGTACCGCTTTACAGCAGGAAGGTAAACAGCGTTCTGTGTGCTGCTCTGGTGCCAGTTCGCCAGAGCAGCTTCGTCATGCTGGCCACGTGACCCAGAAGTGTCTGTGGACAGTGCTGGCTCCCGGCCTCTAGAGTGAGATGAGCGCACAACCCTAGAGTCTGTCAAGACTGGCCCGTACGGGCAGGGGTACCTTTACCTTTAATGCACAACTTTAACCTGCAAAGATAGCCAACAACTTGTACAACAGTCTTAGGACTCAGGAAACAATACTATGGAGTGGAGAGTTGATGTTTAGAGAGGGCCTCTCAGGGCAGAGTTAGAAGAACCCTGGTGGTCTTTGCAGTTAGAGAATCAGGACCTCTATTGTATTTATTTCCGATTTATAGCATATGACCAAAAATCTTGCCTCCCAACCTACCCCACAATTCACTTTGACCTTTCTGTGTCCCCACAACTGGCCTGATGCATAACAGAGACAGGCTGGAGAGGAGGAAATGTGTGTGCTTGCACGTGCACGCGCACACTCACACACCCCTCTTTCACAAATAAACACATATGCTTAGTTTTTCCCATAGCTGAGAGCTGCTGGTTTGACAGTCCAGTTCTGACATTGCCATGACTGTTAGGGGTGTGTCTTGGATGAGGAGAAATACAACCCTTCTGTAAAAAACAAAACAAAAACCCAATCCTTTCTCTGTGAAACTGACTTCATAGTTATATGGAATATTCAGATTGACTGGATATATTAGATTTTGCTTAGCCTGCACTGAAGCTGCACCTCTTCCTAACCCCCATTCTCTAATGACGTGAGAGGAATTCCACTGGGGCAGCTGCAAAACAGGGCTGAGACTCAGCTGTGAAAAGCAGCCTGTGTTTAATTTAAATATTTGTAAAGCATGTTAATGTATTTTTAAGAGAAGACAGAAAATACACTTAATATGAAAATGGGTGGATCATAAACACATGATAGATTGGCTTTAGTTTGGATGAGTAACTAAATATTTAGAATAGAAAATCTCTAGGGTCCACAGAACTAAACTCAAAAGCAGGGGAAGAGTTTGAGTGATCAGCTGGGGAAAAAAAGTTATTCTGCAGTTTGAAATTCTTATGAAAATATATACTTCCCTACCATAAATGTTGAAATAAAGGTGACTGTGTTCATTATTACATGAAAGCTATGGAAGGGCACTAAGCTTAGTCTTCTCTACCAGGTTGTCCTTCCCAGAGCTTATGCAGATAATTGTTTACCTGGCTGTTTCTCTATTCGCTTTTATGGGTCTTGTCTGAAAGGGAAAGATGCCCATAATCAGTGCTTTTTTCTCAGGGTATGCAGGGGTAAGCATTCCCCTAAACATTTTGTGAATCCTTGTACTTTTGTCAATTTATTGTATTTATTTTTCCTGATTTGAACTATAAAATGGTGATTTTCATGAGTCAAAATGAGAGCACTCCTAAACATTTTTAAAGAAAAAAAGCACTGCCCATAATGCCTACAGAATGCACATCTTCCCACATACAAATTTCCAGAAGGGGAAAACATCCAACCTTCCTCTCTCTCTCCTACATCTTCAGAAGATGCAGAATAGATCTTGATCTCCTGCCACACTAACCACATAATCCAAACCCAAGATCTGCCTGGATGAGATAGTTTGGATTTAGTGGATCTTGGGCTTCCATGTCTGGTCACGCTTGCCCTCCCCCAGCTAAGCGGGTGCTCAGTCCAAAAAAGGGGCATTCTGGGGAGTAGCTGGGTAAGGTGGGATCTACAGGTATTACAAACCCCTTTCAGCTTGTTCGTGTGACCCAGCAGAACCCAGATGCCAAAAAGGGTGGCATATAAGTCAAATTCCTGCTGAAGAGAGTTTGGAACAGGGGAAACTTCTGCTGGCTGTCCTGTTAGGGTTTTCAGTAGTCAGTGAGAAGCAGAATAAAAAAAGTGCGATATTGCACTGTAGCAATGCCCTTGCCTGTGCCAGGTTTCTTCTGTAATGTTTACTCACAAGCAAGTTCTTCCCATCAAAGGTCCTTGCAACATTACTTAAAAGCATCCTTATAGCTTTTGTCTCTTTTACTGGTTCCTGTACTGTGTGATTGGGGGATTATTGATGAGTTTCCCCTTAACTAATCAGCTTGAAAGAAAAGAGTTTAATTACTGTTTTCTTTTCTCATTATTTTCCTTGTCTTTCTTTTATATTGAAATAGCAGAACAACAAGCTGGCTTCTCTGCCCTTTGTGCCTTGGATGAGTCTGTGTGTACTTCCTAGCACGGTCTTACCGATGGCCGAGTCATGCGATTTGTCTGAAGCTCCTGCTCCTCAAAGATGCACTTATTAATTATATGGTTTAATTAAACAATTATATAAGACTAATGACTTAATTAACAAAGTTTAAATGGGAAACATTAACCTTTTGTACACATTTCTAGCCTGATCCAAAGGCACTGAAGTTGGCAGCCCAAACATTGCCATTTTTAGTTGGATGTGAACCCTATTAACATCTAATAGGACTTCCTTTAGGACTGCCAGCTGGGATGGTCCTGTTTGTTTGCTTTCAGGCCTGCTGCTGAGAAAACAAGGAGAAAAGCCATCCATACCTAACTATTTCATCCCTTCAGCATTTCCCTTGTATTCTGTACATTATAGGAGAAGTAACACCTAAAATAGGGACGCAGGTGGCAATGTGGGTTAAACCACAGAGCCTAGGACTTGCTGGTCAGAAGGCCGGCAGTTCGAATCCCCGCAACGGGGTGAGCTCCCATTGCTCGGTCCCTGCTCCTGCCAACCTAGCAGTTCGAAAGCACGTTGAAGTGCAAATAGATAAATAGGTACCACTCTGGTGAGAAGGTAAACGGCGTTTCCGTGTGCTGCTCTGGTTCACCAGAAGCGGCTTAGTCATGCTGGCCACATGACCCGGAAGCTGTGCGCCAGCTCCCTCAGCCAATAAAGCGAGATGAGCGCCGCAACCCCAGAGTTGGCCATGACTGGACCTAATGGTCAGGGGTCCCTTTACCTTTACACCTTTAACACCTAAAATGGTAAGCTCTCCCTTTTGGATCCACTCCCTCCTAGACTTGCTCTAGAGACCAAATACCTGACCCCAGCCATGTACCAGAATTTTTTATTTCAAGAGCTGGCAATGCTGATTTTACTTCCAAATAAATGTGTGCCTTGCAATATGACATTCGGCAAATTTAAATTTTGCTTTGAATTCGCACGTTTCTAAGCACCTTCATTTATTCGAATAATCACTCTCTTGGTCCCTCAAATCACACTAATGGGCTCCTAAAACATAGTTGGGGACCAGCAGGCTTAGTAAGAGCAGCCCCTCCTGACTCACATGTTGAGAACTGCGAGTCTAAAATGGTGTGTCCACTTCCCCCTGCCTTTTCTCAAAGTGAAGGAATCGTATTCTCATTTAGACAGTATATCATGATAGATTTTCTGGCTGTTGTTCAAGTGTAA